CTCACAAACACACATATACACACACACACGAACGCACACACACACACGAACACACACACACACATTTGAACACAAATAAAACGTGTAGATCTCAGAATAGACCTCTCCGATAATACATATTAAGGCGTATACGAGTATATGCACGCTTACAGACATACATGTATGCACAATTTTTTATTAACTTCATGCGTTCGACCGTCAAGTCACACTTTCATATGTACAGGGATAGATTTTACAAGAAAATTTTAACACTAAAAGTTGGTCTTAATTTTTAGATCTAGTTATTGAAGCCACAGTAACCTGAGAGAAATAAGTAGTACCGGTATTCTACTTATAGGTAAGGTTTCGCCTACTTAAAAAAAAAAAAAAAAAGAAAAAAATGGCNCGTGTAAACACACACACACACACACACACACACGAACGCACACACACACTCACAAACACACATAAACACACACACACGAACGCACACACACACACGAACACACACACACACACACACACATTTGAACACAAATAAAACGTGTAGATCTCAGAATAGACCTCTCCGATAATACATATTAAGGCGTATACGAGTATATGCACGCTTACAGACATACATGTATGCACAATTTTTTATTTACTTCATGCGTTCGACCGTCAAGTCACACTTTCATATGTACAGGGATAGATTTTACAAGAAAATTTTAACACTAAAAGTTGGTCTTAATTTTTAGATCTAGTTATTGAAGCCACAGTAACCTGAGAGAAATAAGTAGTACCGGTATTCTACTTATAGGTAAGGTTTCGCCTACTTAAAAAAAAAAAAAAAAAAAAAAAAGAAAGAAAAAAAAAATGGCTCGCGTTTTAGGTCCAGTCATTTGATCTTAATGTCTATTGCAGAGTTATCCTAAATGGCGTCAATTTATGTTATCTATCTTGAAAATAGGAAGAAAAGTTATGGACAATTTCGGTTCAAAGACTTCTTGTGAAACCTACCCAGGTGCATTTTACAACCAAACAGTAATCATGCAATCAAACAGAATTATACAATCAAACAGTAATTATACAATCAAACAGGTATCTAACAACCATACAGATATTTACAATCATGCAGATTTTTAACAATCATACAAGTAAGGTTTGGGAACCTGTTTCGCACTGGTTAACTGCACATGCATTCCGGCCCACGGACTTATTGGACGTTGACGTGTTTCACAGATTTTTCTGTTTTGTAAAAAGGTTAAAACACGTGCTGGTCTTTGCCACAATGAACTGCGTAAAAAGAACGATAGAACTTTGAATTCAATGCCAAATAAAAAAAAAAAAAATTAAGGAAAGTAGATAAAGCATAAGCATGTTTTTAAATATGAAAAATCTCTTTTCTTTTAACAACTTGGTGAGATTTCAAACCATCATATAACTTTGATCTCCTGGTCAAATTGAAGGTACGTCAACAAAACCTGGGCCACTCTCTCTCTCTCTCACACACACACACACACACACACACACACGTACTTTTCACGTACTTTTCTCAAGAACACGGCACCAAGGCTTAGTTCATCACATCTCTATCTTGTGCTATTCCTCCTTTCGTTACCTGTTTCCAGCGTTCCGAAGAAGTACAAGGTGGACAGCAGATGGATGCCATTGGCAACTCATGGTTTTTCCCATGACCATGGTCATTTGTCTGTGAAAACGCGGGACATGGACAGTCCTCATAGCAACACCATAAACCAGTGCAACCCCTAAGATACAAACAGGGTTTTGAAAGTCGCAATAAATTCATTGAGGTTCGAGTTGATTAAGATGCAAAGTGAATACATGAGACACGTAATTCCAAGTCAAGAATTAGGGGAAGACCTAGAGCTATTTTCAGACAGTCTTCCAAATTATCTTTGTTGATCCGTCCTCATTTTTTGACCGCTCTCCGACAGAAAAGATAGATACCCGTCAGTGTAAACTTGAATATCTTACCGTCTTCCTGAAGACCCAGGAGACGGCCTCAGTCCGCCCCTAGAATTGGTTGTGGGTCCCAGGAGCAGGTCACCTTCCGAGCAACCTCCGTCCGAATGGCAAGAAGGTCCAATGTCAAATGAAAGGCGTTGCCTTGTTCATCCCAGCCGAGTGATCACAATAGGATTAATGGACATGTTAATGGCCATCATACTGGCCACAAAATGACCCATTGTTGGCGGTAATATCCACTGGTCAGATGAAGCGTTCCAACTAAGTTGGAACTGAACATGACACAACTATTTGCTGGCGCCAAGCGACCACGTGATCCACCAGTTGTCGTCTGTTTCTGGTGGTGTTTTGAATGTCGTGCAAATTTTAGTACAAGATACATTCCTTCTTTTGATTACAGTATAAGAGCCTTTGGTCATATTTACCGGGTATTGGATAAGTCCGCTATTCACAGAAAGCAGTCCTTTCATAAATCCCAAAATTAGGAGTAAGTTAATGGCATCGGTTTGATTAGCGAGCAAATTTGGAAAAACCTATATATAAGCTTACCATATTGTTTCTATGAAACACCTCTATGTTTTTTAAAGACTCGACAGAGTTCAATGTGCCATAGCCCCATACGCCTTTGACACCTGTAGAATGAGATCTGACATCGAAGACAAATGACTTCAAATCATGCTGGAAGTGCTTTGCCGAGCAATAATCTCTCTTTCACTGACGTGAAGGACTCCATGTTAACTGTGAGAATTTTTGTGAGAATCACACACCAAAACTTTTGTGAAAATCGAATACTCAGAAGAAAAAAACGTCAATACTACTTATCATTTTAGCATTCATATTTGCAACTGGGCAGCTTCTTAGTCTTAAGAGGTTTGTGGCAACGGGGAGGGGTGTCACTTTATTAAAGAATAGGATTGCGTGAGGTGAGGCAGTTACCGTCACCTCCTGGCTGCCGAGGTTTTTTATATCATCAATGACGGCGTTGATGCTTCCTTGGGAAAAATGCGACATAATAATCTAAAGGTTTTAGTCGTGTGAGGAGGAGGGATAGTTGTCGAGACGTCGACTTAATGCCGATTGCACGCCCTCCCTTTCTCCGTTCTCATAGCAAATTCTACATAGTGTACTTTAAAAATTTTTCGTATTCAATTTTTGCCGAAATATATTGAATACGAGTGAATGCTCTGAGGCAAGAGTAAAATTCGTCATTGCCATATTTCCATACCTAATAATGCTTTTCTTAAGCCTTTTTTTTTTCGTTTTATTGCATTTCATATATTTGCTATAAATGGGTTCAGCATCACTGGTTACGCTTCAAAATCGTACATCACACGCAAGAAAAAAATCAATACAAAGAAGTTTACCTCACTTGGTCACTTCTTTTGTGGACAATTCTATCATCATCGTCTCGCGGCTGCGCACCCAGATTCCACTCCTCATACTGCTAATTATTATTATTTTTTTATTTGCAAATTAAGTAGATGTAAGAATTTCCCCGCCATTTCGAAATACTTTCTCATCACTTTGCCCTCCATCGTGTGAAAAATAATTTTCAGAACAAGAATGCGATTCTTTCATATCAGATGTTGAAATCTAAGGGAATAGGACGCGTATCGCCGCAATTTCAAACACCTTCAGAATATCACTGCAACGCTGATTGTTATCGTGGCCCTTTTTGAAAAAAGATTAAGGTGAAGTTCATATATTCAAATCCTCTCGAGGTTTTCACTCTCACTGGTGTCGTGCATGTTTCGATGCTGAGGTGGTTGCAGTTATTTGACTCAGCAATGAAATTGCTAGACTATCAAGCATCGTGTGCAACTTATTACAGAGACAGATGAAAATGTTTCTTTAAATGAATAACACTCCTAATCTAAATTTCATTCGTTTTTGGATGCTCTACTCAGAGTCCACAGACCTGAACTCTTAAAGACAAGAAAACTGCTCTTGGCTAAACACACCCCGTAATCAGCTGACAGATATGAGAAAAATAAATTTATGACAAACACAACAAGAGAGTGCATATGGTATAATAATTTATATTACATAATGGATAAGGCACCCGCTTACACGAGTTAAATATATACATTCAAAATGACAGGAGATCACAAACGCACCGTAACCGAAATGTACATTCAGCGATGTAATGGTAAAGAAAAAAAATTATGACAAGTATAATAATTAGATGCATTAAATAATTTGAATTACATACACGACGTAAGAATGTAGCACAAAATCAAAATTTATATTAAGAAGTTCACAAGCAGAATCGCATGAGAACGACAGCACGTTTAAGGCCCCAATTCTCAAGTCAATAAAAACAAATATATATACAGATTGCACTATTACACAGGATACTTGAACGGTAACCATAATTCAAGCAACAAATCATGGAAGGTAAACAATAATTCAGACTCGCCTTCACCTGTAAAAGAAATTAAGCTAGAGTCAAGTTTTGCCCGCTTGAATTTGTTGACACTTTTGTAAAAACCGAAAAGTAGGCATAAATAATGAAACACCTGAGTGGCCATCTGGAGGTATTACTAAGTAATTTTACCCAAAACTCTGTTGAGCAAATACCAAAAAGCTGAACATTTTTGCTTTCTGACATTGGCGTTGTGCGTAGCCCTCTTAAAGACAAGAAAACTGGTTCTCATATTAAGTGAGTATAGGGAGGTTGATCATATATGCTGCTTAACCTATAAGTTAATGTGAGGATTTGGGCACAAATAAGGTAAACTTTTGCATATACATATACAACAAACATATATTCCCAGCAAAACTTCTAAATCTTAGCGGTCACGTGTATACTCAATATATTACCTGAGAAAACAAAGATTACATATTCCAACACAACAGGTCCTATTAAGTTTGTCTAATCTTCTATACTATTAATAATGTAATGCTATCTGGTAGCAGAATGTGCTTCTCTTAATTTAACAATACACTTAATAATTGCATTATAACACTAAGATAATTATGTCATACAGATAGCTGCAAACTATCAAATTTCATCTATTCCCTCTTGGTTATATATATTTTCTGATATCTTGAACTAAATAAAACATGCAAGTGTTGAGGGTTTCTGTAAAAAGTCAGGTGCATTTTTCCAGTACTGCTCTGTTCACTTTTACAATGGGAAACCAAGATGTGCATCCTCATAAAGATATTGTCATTTGTATGCACCCCCCCCCCCCAAAAAAAAAAAAAAAAAAAAAAAAAACATCAACATGTCATAGAAGAGAATGACAAACAGAGAGGATGACCATGCAGTATAGAAGATGGGCATAAAAACATGCATTTTCTTTTCATCATAAAAGGAGGGAAACCTTCATAAACGACTTTGTTTTTCTTTAGAAGGAATGAGAACTGTCTTGAGCACATAAAAATATAATATCCTTCATACAGTCCAGCGACCTATGTATAACATAATACCTCACAATAATAAAAATTTTTACAAAGCAGCAGGAAACACCCAAGGATCCTCCACTGTACAACAGTTGTCTTCTCTGGTGCAATCATATCTCATCTTCTCTGCTGCAATGTGTTACAGCACAGCTGAAATCTCCTCTAACACAATAGCCTGCTGTTGCTGCCATACAACAGATTTAACATATAAATATACCTGCACAGCAGATTTCTCTCTCAATACGAACCTTTTGTCCTTACAGCCAAGTCTCTTGTAGTTGAAATTTTCCCACTGCGCAGCAGAAACCTCTCTCTTCTAGAATAACTGGTGCAGACTATCACCTCCACCATGAAAATCAAAGTTACTCTTCTACACTGAGCTCTCTGGTGGGCATTTTTCTTCTAAGTTCACTTTCAATTGTTAGCACCAGGAAAACAAAACCTTGGGATCGCAACCCCAAAACCGTTGTCCATGTCAATGAACATGTCCCATTTTGATTTTTTAATCGCTATAATACAGATCTCTTCTCATCACCTTCTTTCCATATAGTTTCACAATGAATTTCCTGTCCTGAATAAGGTTCAAGGTCAAAGTTGGAGGTGAAGGTCATGCAATGACGTAGAGTTCTTACTGGTTGTTGTTTTTGTTGTCCTGGGTTACCAGGGTTGAATTGCTGGCAATGGTGTCACCCTCTTGGGGAATTTTCAGTGGCTGCTGGCTGGAATTAAAATTGCACTTTACTATTTAGTTCTAGACATACCAGAAGAAACCATCATGTTCTTAAATGGTTGCAAAATCTCTAATGTAAATAAAATTTGGTTTACTGTAAAGCTGAATATCTGATCCGAATATACTTGTAACTGTGTTAAATGCATTTCTGGCACTGGAAAAAAAAAACAGAGAAATAAAATAATAAAAATTCTGGTGAAATATGCTGTAAGCATTCATTATTTTTACTTCTATGCTTCTTTTGGGTTTTCTTTATTTCTTAAATTATCTAAATAGATCTACTTACTTTCCATTTGACAAGCTGTAAAGGATTTTAACTGGCATGTACTTCTTCATGTTGTCCAGTGAGAACCAGGAGCCCCAGTGGGAATCACTGCCTGGAGAAGAACATAGTATTGTGTTAGATGTGACACAGTCACAGTATTGTGTTAAATGAGATACAGCATTGGGTTGAGACACTGAACTGTGTTAGGTGAGACACAGCACAGTCCTGGGTGCCAGTTGTTAGGGAACACAGTAAAAATTTTACAACAGAATTATCATTTTTACCTTCATGTGTAACTTATTTATCATTTTTATTTTGCACTCATTTTGTTAAATTAATTTTATTATAACTGTTTTGTTTTTTTTACAGGAGGGACTTCCACAACGAGTTCTTGCCACATAATTATTGATTATCAGAACTTTATGCGTCAAAGGAAACCCCACATTTTTTACAGTAAAATATTTAGGTTCTTTCTCTCACCTGTTCGCCTAGGGCTTCCAGGCGGTGTCAAGCTGCTGTCGGAGGCGCTGACGCCAGGACTGTGGTGTTGTTGATTCTGGTGGCGCATGCTGGCCATGATCTTGTGGGCCTGGCACTGACTGGGTGGGATGGAAGCCATCTTGGACAGTGACTGTTACACTTGACCAGTGCACTTATACTTTAGCTTTAACCTGTAAGAGAGATGGCTCATTTAATATGAAAAAAAAAAAAAAAAAAAGGGTAATTGTAATATGTGGATCAGGTGTTTTCTTGGCTTGAACAGTTCTCACTTATACCTTTTTTTTCTAAAAGAAAGAAAAAAAAACTTCAATTCACTTGTACACCGCCCAGAATCAACTAAAAATACAAACAAGCAACTGTTATAACCTTGATACTAAGACAAGTATGCATACCACGTATTGCATAAACTCATTTGTATGAGCAATATGTAACCTCAAACAAGCTAGCTGTGCACAGTAAATGTCTGCCTGCTAAGGGTGCCTAGATGGCATTAACTGGCCTTCTGTAACTTTTGCAATCATCTTTTATTCAGGGAGAAAAGAAAAACTTTTTTCGCTAAAAGATATTCCACTTCAAATGCATCAACAAAAATAATGTATTTGTGTTCCCTTTAATGAAAGTACAAAGTAATCTTTAACACTGATAATTATTGTTATATGAAGCACTACAGTTACAGTTCATGGATTCATAAGGGTGCTTCATATCACAAATATACACCTGTCTTACCTGGACTGAACCAAAGACTAGATGACATTAGCTCAACTCCCAGCCTTCTATAAAAGCTGACACAAAACAACCCCTTTTTCCTATCTGAACTCACCTCCTCCACCCACTTTATCTAGACTGTCTGGATTCAACTGGTTCTGTGCAAAACAGCAACATTTAACTAAACAAATACATGATACTGTTGACTGTGCTGTGAATCTTAATCTTGAATTGTTTAATATATTACTATTCTTAGCTACATGACCTAGATAAACAGATTGTCAAGAGGTCTTGAACAGTGCCCTTGGCTGTCTGTGTATGTTCAGTACAATTGTAGGTTATCTTATCATATGTTTAGTACACTTGTAGGTTACCTTATTTTATATATATCTAACACTGAACTTGCGACATCTGGGAATGCTTATGTTTGGGTTGTTTTGGACTATTGGATCCTTGCATAGCTGGGCAGAAGTAAATTGTAGTGGCAGGGGCGGATTTAGGCCGTCTTCTGGGTCTTCGGGAAGACGGCCTAGATTTTCAAGTTTACATTGACGGGTATCTTATTTTTTTCTGTCGGAAAACGGTCAAAAATGGAGGATGGATCAACAGAGATAATTGGGAAGATTCTCAGAAAATATCTCTGGATCCGCCCCTGAGTGGGGTGGGGTTGGGGGGGGGGGGTCTCTACCAGGGTGGCAGATTATATGGGGAAAAAAGAGGAAAAGCTACCATGACTTTTAGCCAGATGGAAGCAATTAAATCTGCCTGCGTGAGTGCGTGCAGATGGCATTGTACGCACTCTGCAGGAGCTGAGCTTTGTGTCGATATTATAACTGCTCATTTGTCTCAAACCCTGCAGTCTGCTAAAACTAGCCATTTGGTTGGAAGGGATTCACTGAAATTGTGCACAAGCTGTATCCCAGAATTCCATATGGTGGCTGTCACATCAGTTGTTTTGTCCAAAAAGAACAAGACGTTCTAACAATCAATTCCTGGAGGTTTTGTTTTTTGGTGCAATGCCAAAGCTCCAATTTGACTTTTAGATGACTTACTTGTTATAGACTCCTTGTAAAACTTCTCCCACAGATATGATATATATATGCTGTAAATTGGTCTTCAAAGATAGTAGAACTACAAAGTGCTGTGTTGATGTTCGATGTGCGTTCGTCGTACAACATCAATTTGATTTCATAATATCATTGCCAGTGGTGTGTTGACTCTCTGTTCTTCTTATAAAATTATTTAGTGCATCAATATTTATACCTCAACAAATTCTACAAGGGATTCCCCAGTTAGCCTCACTCTGAAGTGACAAGCTATTCATAAGGGGCTATTTTCATCTGTCACAGAAGAGCAAGTGATTAATGTCAGAGCAATTAACTGTCTTAATTGCTGTCAAGGGGGCTTAGCTTGGACATGTCAAGTGGCAGTGCCTGAGCAGTTATGCAAACAATTACTAGCCATGTAATCAGCCTTGAGATTTCGTCTCAGGGTGACACAGAGCCAAATGACTGTCCATTTATCTAGAGACATATCTGTGAAAAATCAATCTGCCACCCTGGTAGATGATTGAAGGGGGGGGGGGGGGAGAGAGAGAGAGAGAGAGAAAGGAAGCACAGTTCCAGTCCCCAATCAAATACCCCATTCACACTACAGTTGCCAAAATGCGCATTTCTATAATTCGGATTTTTCATAAGGAATCCGATTCGGTATTGCGTTCACACTCGCTAAGCGAATCCGAATCCCACGTTGAAAATTTCAGATTTAACTTCCTGTTTTGAACACTCGCGCATGCGCCGCACAGGAAATCTTAAAATATCAACAAAAATTTGTGACGACAAATGCAACTCAAAAGACATTCCAGCATTCTTGAGAAGTATAGGGTGGCAAAATAAGTTTGTTTCCTCATGTTGTAGTGAGTGGTGACCTCCAAATACGTTTGGTGCAATCGCTAAAGTAATAAACCAGCGTTCATAGATACCCGCACTTATCTGCACACGTGCGCAGTAAGATCTGTACAGGTGTCGATTCCGGTAAGTTATCCGGATCGCGCTTAGAAATCCACCTCGCTTGCAGGATTTTGAAAATGCGCATTTTCAAAATCCTCTTGCGTTCACACTACGGCATTTATTCGAATTGTGACCTAATTCGCAACTTATCCGGATAACTGAGCGTAGTGTGAACGGGGTAAAAATCAACTCACTAAGTATTTCAGTACAAAGGTGAGGCTAACAGGCATCTAAATCAGGAAACAGGAACTCTGTATCACACTACAAGGCTGTCCAGTGTAATTTGAGAACCTGACTGCCCTGGCAATAATTCAAGGAGAATCCCAGGGCACATACTGAATAATTTAGCAGCTATCAGGGCTTTCTAATCAACCAGAATTTTGAAATAATAAAAACACCAAATAAAATTTCTAACAGAGATTGGCCATCTAGGTTTCCCCATGCTCCAATACAAAAGAGAAAGGGGGAAAAAAATGGAAAAAAACTGCTACCCAAAACTGCAATAGGAAGACCAAGTTATAGCTAAAAGGTTGCCTGTCTAGTGCCCTGCTGACAGCTATATGGTCTACCAGTGCAATATGGGAGTGTGGTGTTACCTAACAACCAAGCTGTGTGCACTATGGCATTATAGCAGCATTTTGTTACAGTACCCTGGATGTGCTATATGGCTATGTGGAGCTAATCACATGGTGCCCACTGCATTGTAAATATTATTCATCAGCTTATCTCTCAGCTCCTAATATATCAATAAACATAAGAATTAACCTACAAATGTACTGTTTTTTTAACATGAAGCAAGATGTCTACTCTCTTAATTCAAAGATCACTGGTGAATTAATATATTTATCCATCAATCAATCAATAAATAAGTCACAGTGAACAAGAGCAATTCTAAGTAGGTGCTGACGGTTCAGAAATTCTGGCTATATGCCTTATTACTAGTATACATACATGTGCAATGCCCTCCTACATCTATCTGTATAAAAGTATGTGAAAACTTGCCTGTTAAGAAATAATCTACAGACAATCTTTCTCTTATAATACAGAGCAGCCACTTTCAACTGGTGTTTTCCCTACTTGCTTTATTTCCAATGACAAGAAAAAATTTTCATCACCTGCACCTCTAATCTAAACCCCCCTTGATCTCATTTTGGTAAAAATAGTTTTACAATCAGAGATAAAAGGCTTAATGGAGGGGAATAAGATGTTCATAAAATGACTCACATGCAAGAAAAAACTCCCTGTATACCATACCTGGATGCGTGTCAGACTGTGCGATGCCTTGTTTTACAAAGACTTGTACAGCCGTTAACAAAGTGATCCACTGGACAACAGGGGTATGATAGGAGTATATATCTGACAGCCCTACTGACCGCTTGACTGGTTATCTAACTGACCACTGACATAAATAACTTTGTTTACCTCGCAATGCTGGCATCTCAAAATAAGCCTGTTGTTTGGATCAAAAAAAGGTACAGCAAGAAGACAGAAAAAGATATCATGCTGCTTTATTCTTTTTCACCAAGCGCTGTATATAGTCAAAGTCTCTTAGTTTCAATACATTTCTTTAGCCTGGTCTCTTTGTTTCAATATATTTCTTTCGCCCATCTTTATTTTTCTTTACCATCAGAGCCAATTCAACAGAGCATTCAGCCATTGTAAATTACCTTTTCTCTTTTAGAAATATCTAAAAGAACTGGCAGCAATTTATTTTCATTTGTTTAACCTTTGATTTTATACTGTAGTCAACAATAGAATTCTGACATGGCACTGCCATTCTTGCCTTACCTAGCCCTTTTGTTGTCAACAGTTTTCCCCTTCATTACCTGAATAAAATCCACTTAGGTCTTAGTCATGCAAGGTTATACAAGTTTACATCAAAACAAGGGGCACGGTTTCCTGTCAGCAAAGTTATTATTAGCACACAGTCACAATATACACTTCCCCAGACAAAAGGGACAATAAACAATAAAACACTGAACCGAGCTACCTTAAACGGCTTAATTAAGGTCACTATATCAATTATTCCTTTGGCACGACAATCAGCTGACGACCATTGTTGCTTGTTAAGAATCCAGACATCTTATAATAAAAGTAATTTATCATGACGACATCATTTGAGTTAATAGGGCAGGTTTACATCTCTTCCGTTTTCAGTTGATGTCATAATTATCATTAAAGGCGTCACTACATTAAAGGGATAAGAACTCTTCGTTTTGGCCAAAAAAATGAATTTTCCTGGAGTAAACAACAAATTTCCCGTACTTACTAATGGTTAATGAATCCATTTTTACATTCAAAATTAGTCCCTGTTTTTTTTTCTAAAAAGTTTGGTTTTTTGTTAAAATCTGTAAGAGATTATAACTGAGTACAGCCATCAGTGGATCTGAAGACAAGCTCAGATATCAGAATATAATAGCTATAACTGACGTTTTTGTGGTAAAACAGGATATATTATATTTCTATGAGTTGTTCACAATGTTTTTATTGTATAATATAGATATCATACGAAGAGCTATTATCCTATTATCTTACAGTCGGAGAATAGCTGTAAAGCTAATGTTTCTATTCAATTTATAACCGACATGAAATAAAATTTATTGTATTGTATTGTATCCCTTTAATAATAAGAACAATTATGATAATCACTTTGTTAAACAGATTAAGTTTCGTATAGCATATTTTCCGATTAACTTGAGGCCTATACCTTCCCCCGATTTTAAACACGTGAAAGGCACATGGTAAGTGTTTATTTATCTTAGAGACGATAACATATATCACAATCAACTATAGTAGAAAGTGTATGTCCGTCTCTGTACGTTACGCCGATCCGTTCAATTTTCACAGTTTAAAAATCCACCATCAAATACTCACCCAAACAAATATTACTCAGATGATTATTTTCTTTACTTACCGTGTTGAGCAGATAGAGTAGTTATCCTTTCTTGTCTGTAAGTTTCGTGTTTTCAGTCACACATTTTCAATAATGATATTTTATAAGACGCACGCTGCTGTCACATCTGACATAGTTAGGCTTTGTAACAAATCCAAAAATATCTTCCTTTGAACAAATCAACAAGGCGGTTATATTTCTCAATCAGATTCCGAACCAATCAAACTCTTGCTTTCAATACCAACCACTTGATCATGTCACAAATGCGTGAATATAGTACAAAGGTCGAATCTGAGCGTTGACCTCTCGGTTAGAATCGGTAAGTACGGAAACAACCGAGGCCATTTAAACTAATATTGATGACGTTTTACCCATAATAAACATCGACCGCAATATTCGTGACGTACTTAGCATCACACTGCAAATGGCGGGGCACCACAGGCAAGCGAGTGGTGCTATTAGGAAGAAAGTGCAGGTAATTGCCTTTTGATCTGAAGAATATACTTCATGCTGTATTCACACGATAAAATACAAAAAATTCCAGGAAGCGTCATGCCGAATTAATTGTATAGTAGCGTTGCATCTGTGCACGAAAATGAAGTAGCTTCCACACGCCATTTAAACCCTCAATTTAAATGTCAAATGGCTGCATCTTGGCTTGTAACTTCATTTTGGCTTTGAGGCTATGCCAAAAGAATGAGATATGAATGTCAGCCTTGATTATAAGATAGTGCCTGCGTCAGAATTCCCCGGAATCATTTCCAGTATAAAGGCGCACTAATTTCATTCATTTTAATTTTATTTAATTTGTCATATTTGTTATATTTTTGATGAATTTTAACCAGGTATCGTTTGTGATCCGTGATGAGACAGAGCGTAGTCATAGGTCTGGTGTGAACGCCCTCCAGTATGATGGCACTCTGAACAGACTATACTCTGCAGGCAGGGACTCCATTGTTAGGATATGGAACACAAAGAGCATAAAGGTATAGCATGTAAAATTACCATATCTGGGGTAACGCTAACACTCGCCAATTTAGCCAAATGCTAAAACTGACTTAAATTGGCTAAACAAAAAGGGCTTGATTTGGCTAATTTTAGTCAAATTAAAGCCATTTGGATAACTAAGTGACAAAAAAGTGGTAATTTGGCTAAGCGAAAAAAATTGCTAGCGCTACCCCAGCATATCCCAAACATTTTAGGGAGCAGTGATAGTTACTAGTATCTGTTGGATATGTCAACAACAACATTTTTGACAGCATACAGAGGGCTAATCAGGGGTGGACCCAAATATGATTTCTGACAGTGTTCCATATTATCTTTTTTGATCCATCTTCCATTTTTGACCTTCTTCCAACAGAAAAAAATTACACGTAGATGCCCGTCAGTGTGAACTTGAATAAATTCAGAGCATCTTCTGGAAGACCCAGACAGCTTCTGTCCGCCTGTATTAATTGTCTTATGGAAAAAGTATTTTTGTTTAAGGCATTTGGAGGTGGATTACTTTTAGATGAAGGACATTATAATTGTGATCTTTTCAATATAATGTTTTTGCTTAATATGGTATTAAGTTAACTCTATTATATTCATTTCAGGACCCATACATCCAGTCTATGGAACACCACACAGATTGGGTCAATGATGTGGTGCTGTGCTGTGAGGGAAGAACATGTGAGTTCTTGTCTGTGTTCATTGGTGTGTGTTCATGGGGGCGTGCGTGCGTGTGTGTGTGTGTGTGTGTGTGTGTGTGTGTGTGTGTACATGTGTGCATGTGAGTGTGTGTTGCTGTCTGTTAGTGTGTGTGTGTGTGTGTGTGTGTGTGTGTGTGTGTATGCATGTGTCTGTGAATGCATATGAATTGAAATGTGCATATGTGTGAGTATAATTGCAAAACTGGTGTGTGTACAGTCTTTCTGTGAGCCTATTTTGCTAATGTATGTGCACATGCATATATCGGCAATAACATTTTTGTGCAATTTACAAACTGGTTGTCTTTATTGAAAAGGTACATCAACCTACTGGACTGTAAAATGCTGTTTGTCTTCCAGTGATATCTGCCTCAAGTGATACCACAGTAAAAGTATGGAATGCTCACAAAGGATTCTGTATGTCTACATTAAGAACACACAAGGTAACAACTAAGTGAAATTAATGGACTTGTACATGTCAAAAATATTTATTTACAAGCATGAATCTAGATATGTCAAACTTTCGAGTCAGGGAAAAGGTAGTAGAAATTATTTTCAATGTTATATGAAAAAAAAAAGAGATTTTTTTTTTTTTTTTTTTTTTTTTTTTTTTTTTTTTTTTTTTTTTTTTGAAAAGAATCACCTTTATATTTCAGTGTGTATTCTCAAAAACCAGTCATGTTTTCCTGATTGTGTTTCTTTTCAGGACTATGTAAAAGCTTTGGCATACGCCAAAGATCGTGAGCATGTAGCGTCAGCTGGACTTGACCGTGCAATCTTTCTGTGGGACGTCAGAACATTAACTGCTCTGACAGCAGCTAATAATACTGTCACAAGTGAGCACACACATCTCTCTGCTTGTAAAACTATTGTTACCACTGTCATTCAAATAAAAAGGCATAAAGACATTCAAAATTGGGTTTAATAAAAAAACATTCTTTATTATGAAATAAAGATGTTTGTAGTCCACAGATACTAGCTAGTTATTCAGCTAAGCACAGGGATGAAAGAAGAAGATCAAAGAAAATAACGCCACAATGCACATTCTCCATCTGTTTGAGGCACATGATCGAGTTCTGATTTTTGTGTTTTTCAGCATCTTCCCATGTTACTTTTGGTGGTGATAGTTCTGCTTAGCATTATGTGATATTGCTTTAAAATTGCCAAATAATCCATTTTGTGCATCATTTTTTCTGCTTATGCCTGTACTTTTGACAGCATTACTGCCTTGTTGTGTTTTTTTAGCGTCTTCCCTAAATGGAAGCAAGGACTCCATATACAGTCTTGCCATGAACCAGCCGGGCAGTGTGATTATTTCTGGGTCAACTGAGAAAGTGTTGCGAGTCTGGGACCCACGGACGTGTCAGAAGCTGATGAAGTTACGAGGACATGCTGACAATGTAAAGGCTATTGTCATCAACAGGGATGGCACCCAGGTAGAGTTTAATGGCTTTGTATCACTATAGTTTATATATAATTTTATTTCAAATTTAACAAAATTTAATATTGGCATAAAGTCAGTTACTAGTAATGAATCATCTCATGATGACTAATTATTTTCATAGACTGGTTTTATATCAACATACCATAAAACATTCATTTGAGATGATTCACCCAGAAAATGTACATCATTGTTCAGAACTGTCATTTGAACCAGTCATAAATTTATGATTTTTGAATTATCTTTATGTTGTTTTGATATTTTTTAAAATTTATTTTATCAACAAAAACTAATTTTAAGCAAAAATATGTAAGACATTATGATTCAAATATAAGTCTAAAAGGACCTGAAAAAAAATTATAGATGAATATAATTATTATAATATAACACTAACACAACAGTATGTCTTCTAACTATAAAACGCATCATCTAGTAAAATAAAAGTCAAGGTTTATAAATGGCTACTGTAATTCCTCTCTGTAGTGTCTGTCTGGGAGTTCAGATGGCACCATAAGACTGTGGTCACTAGGTCAGCAGAGATGTGTGGCTACAATACGAGTGCACGACGAGGGAGTGTGGGCTTTGCAGGTACAGTAGTCTTCCTTGTCCTAAAATATTTGACATGCTGCAACTTGAAATGAAATATTTCACCTGCTCTTGTGTGAAATTTTAAATCCTGGGAAGTGAAAAAGATTACAAGCTGACCAACTTTCGGTCCTATCATGATAGGTAAACTGTTATTTTTATGCCTGGTGTCTATTTTAGCATAAAATTAAACTGTATAAAATACTGTATAATTTAAAATGCTGCTTAAAATACTGTATAATTTGTAAGATATAAAATTCTGTATAATTGAAAATATATAAAATACTGTATAATTAAAAAACTATAAAACTGTATTATATTTGCAGGCAAATGACACATTCACCACGGTTTACTCTGGCGGACGTGACCGCAGAATCTGGGCCACAGATGTCAGGAATCCTGACAATAGGACACTGATATGTGAGGAGAAAGCACCTGTTTTAACAGTAAGTTATCCCATGGAATTTACTGTATTTGTGTGTGTGTGTGTGTGTCTTGGTGTGTGGGGTGGGGGATGGAGAACTTATAACATATTTTTTCTTCTTTTATTTATTTTTTTAACTAATGTATTTGTGTTCAAAGTATTTTGATTTGCTGAAAATTATTAAATTTCGCCTTTTAATGATGGTCCTGTTTTTACAGGCAATAAAGAAAACTTTTCTAGGTTGTGGTTTGATAGACAGTATACTAACAAAATGTGTATGATCTCTGTTTCCAGCTTGAACTTGTCCAAAACTCTGACCAACCATCATTATGGGTGTCAACAACAGATTCTACTATTAGGAATTGGGTGAGTCATTGATTTCTCAGCTGATATTTGTTTTAAAGATTTGATTTGATACACAGACATTTTTCAAGAATTTCAACTATCTAACGAGGACTTTCTTACATCACGACTAATTTTGTCATTTGTGATCATGAAACTGCAATGAAATTCTATGTGCTTATTTTTCTGAGCATGGACTCCATCCATTATAAACTCAATTCTTGATTGAATAGAACTTTCATTGCTATAGCCATTTGATAATGATCTAAGCATATGTTGATTAATTTCAGCCAATCAAACACAGGCTATCAAGAATGTCTGGCGACTATGATAATTTTAATGAGATTCCCACACCGATGTGCACACAGCCAGACATGACAATCAAAGGTAGCTATTTTAATGCAGAGAGAAAATACTGACCTGTTAGGAGGTCAATGTGGTATAATATATTGACCTGCAAATAACCAGTCCATCAGAATATAAATTTGTTATCATGTAACAAATGTTAATAAAGTGACATTATCAATCTTTCAAAGTGTGAAACTGCCGTATAGTATAATAAAACACCTTAAAGTTGGTAAATGAAAGAAGGACTATAAGGGAAAAACCTATGTTGAATGTAAAGTGAAATGGTAACTTTATTTGGAAAATGCATGTTGTTTGAATTTTTCACTTCCTTCAGTAGCGCAGTGAAAACAGTCTTTGTGTTGTTATTTGTAACCATAATTATGATGTCATTTATGAATTGTGAATTCTAAAAAGTATAATTATCTGTTTTAGGTGGTGCTAGTATAAGACAATACCATGTATTAAATGATAAAAGACATGTATTAACTAAGGACACAAATGAAGATGTAGCCCTGTATGATGTCTTAACAGTAAGTAGGTCACTCAGTTTAGTTTTGTCTATAGGCCATTTTGAATATTTTGCAATTTCTTTCATAAGGCAAGTAAACTGCTTGAAAAAGATTTACCATTATGTTAACTTTGATCTTAAAACTTTAAAACAAATTTGCATTTCCAAACCTTTTCTTTGCAGTTTAGTGGATAAATAAATTTTTTTAAACTCTCATAAGATTCTTTTCATGTTCTGTTCTGTGAAAAATATGCTTTACTGATTCTCTCCTTTTTAAGGCTAGGAAAGTAGAAGAATTGGGTGCAGTTGATCTGGAGGAAGAAATCAAAAAAAGGTTTAAGATGGTCCATGTACCCAACTGGTTCTCAGTGGATCTCAAAACTGGGGTAGGTGGTTTCTCTGTGTGTTTGTGTGTGCACTCGCGTGCGCACGTGCATGCATGTGTGGGTGTACATGTCTCCATGTTTTTGTGTATATGTGTGTGTGACGTTGCTTCTAGTATGCTTTATGGCACATGTATAAACCAGTTAAGATTTCAAGCAGTTGACTACTGATCTAAGCAATCTCATATCACTTTCTTTTTCAGATGATCACAATACATTTAGAGGAGACGGACTGTTTTGCTGCTTGGGTTTCAGCGAAAGATGTTGGTATTGAAACCAGTGGGGACGGACCAGACACTAAATGTAAGCACAACCTGTGACCCAGTGGATGAAATCTTGTCAGTTTAGAATTATTATCATTGCCTGAGGTTGAAAATCTTTAGCACTGGCCCAAGATTTTTTTTTTTTTGGTGTTCTCTTGTTATTTGATTATTTGTAGTTCTAAAGTCTGAAACAATATCTGATAAGCTTAAAAACAAAGTCCATCTCAGATATCTGTATTTTGTCTCTATGTGAAGAAGTGACCAAGTCGGCCATAAATTCAGCTTCTTTTTTCTTTCTCTCTGCAGTAAATCTAGGTGGCATGTTACTTCAAGCTCTATTGGAACATTGGCCCAGAACACAAATGGAGGAGGGGTCAGGTAGGTACAAGGTCAAGGTCACATGTGTTAAATTAGTACAAGGTCAAGGTCATTTGGGTAAAGATTAGCAAAATATAGACATAATTATGACCAATTAGGGTGGAGTGTCATTATACATCTGATTGGAATTTTTTCACTAAAATCGATGTGAAAGATCCCATATATCAAAGGATCTATATGAAAAGATATTTTGACCTTTTCTTTAATCTTTATTATTCAGAAAATGGTGATATGAATGGTGAGATGAATGGAGACATGAATTTTGATAGGAAAACTGGAAATCCATATTTCAGTGTCCCTGGGCACACACCACTCATATTCAGGTAGAGCAAGCTCCTTTCTTTCCCAACTCTCTTTCTCTCATCATTTTCAAACCTGAAAATCACTTAATTATTGTTGTAATGTTATTAATCATTTAATTTAGTGTCACTTTTTCAATAAAAGGTCATAATTAACCTGTTGAAAAAAAATTGTTTTCTAAATCAGTTTTAGTACAGACAATTTTACCCTCTTTCAGTGAGATGGGTGGCCGCACCTTGTTTCGTTTGTTGTGTCGAGACGCTGGTGGAGATACGGAGCAGATGCTGCTTAACGAGACGGTACCGCCCTGGGTGGTGGACATCACAGTAGATGTGAGTCATTGCAGTGGACAGTGGTCATTTTAAATGAATAAATGTGGTCATTACAGTATTTTGATGGAAATTCATCTGTGTAGTCTTTATTATGTTATACGCTTAAACTTAATTTATACACTTACTTGAGCTGTACCTAACAAAGCTTTAGATCACTGCTCTGAACTTGACACTTCACACTGAGAAAGGTCACAGTATTGTTACTGTTATGGTCATAATGTTAGCTGCTGCAACTCTGCTTTGGTATTTGTAGAAAAACATGCCCAAGTTCAACAAGATTCCATTTTTCCTACAACCACACTCCACGTCAGGTATCAAGTGCCTGAAGAAGTAAGTGATCAGAACTTCTGTTTTGAAATATTTTTATTACACTTTGGCTAATTAAGTGTCCAGTGTTAACTTAACTTTATTAGTTATTAATGTAAAAAAGTGAATCCAATTGTGTTCTCCACATCATTGAAATGAAATGCAGACTTACAATAATACATTACCATCTTTTACCACAAGATGCTTATGTGTTTGATATCTAAAATTATTTTTATTATTTATTTTTGATATATATGATGTTTAAAAGTACAAAAGGCATATATATGTCTTGAAATGACTATAGATATTGGACTGGCTTTGTGGTAACAATATAAAATTTCCCTTACGACTTTGAAGTCTGTCACATTCTTGAAAGAGAAACAGATTTTATAAATCATTTATTTCCAGGGACAGACTGTCGGCAAGTGACATGTTACAAGTGCGTAAAGTGGTTGAACACGTCTTCGAAAAGGTCATGGGTCAGGGGTCAGAGACAGGGTCACAGAATGCGGGTCAGGACAGGACAGACTACGACAAGGTCCCAGAGGATGATGGGATACCTGCAGAAGAAAAGGTGGAGCTATTGTGCAATGATCAGGTATGTTTGAGTTGTATGGCTTTAACATTCACAAAAATGCAGACACTCCCACATAACACACTCACACTTTTACACTATGAAAATTATGAAGCCATTGTGAATAAAGTCGGCCTTTTACATACTGGCCATGTGCTTAATTTATACTACCCTGAGATTGTCTAGATGCCAGAGTTTTACTCTTGTATATCTCATTTATTCAGAGTCCATATTTATTACATCGAGTCTCTTGTATCTTATTTATGAATTTTGTTGTTCGTTTCAGATTCTGGATGCTAATATGGATTTGAGGACGGTTAAACACTTTATATGGAAGCAAGGTGGGGACTTGACATTACACTACAGGCCAATCAAACACTGAGAGATGAACAGTTCTTTAGTCTCCTTATATCTATACTTATCTGTAGATAAAAACATCTTCAGATGAAAAAGGAATCAATGTAGCAATTTATGTACTGATTGTTAGTGGTTTCCGTGTTATTTTGGAGAGGTGTGGAAGAAAACATCTTTGTGTAGAAAATCATTTTGTATAGTGAAGAAATGTAAATCTTCTGTGATGGCCTCTTCTTTATTTAAGATGAGCAAAAGTTTTGATGTTGGCACCCGAAAAATCATCTTCCAGAATAAGTCTTTGTTGAGATGAAGTAAATTAATATAATGCTCTTTGTTGGCAGATTCTACTTTATATAAAGATGTTATCCGTGGATGCTTTTAAAACAAAAAATTGATGTGCTTCAGCAGTGAAATAGCATGATTATGGCATGCTAAACACTGAGGGAGAAAATCATGAAAGAATATTTATTAATTTGTTGTTATTGAAGAGAAGACACTTTGGCATTGAAATGCTGAGTGTGGCATATTTGACACTAGGGAGTCTGCCTTTGAAAAGATCACAGTGCAAGGCCACACTTGGAAGGTGATTCTTGCAGATCTAGCTGCATGTGCTCCAGAACGTCAAGGTATGGGTAGATAACCACTTCCTGCTTTTCTGAAGTTCATCTTAGTGTTGAAGGTCATCTTATACTAGTCTGATTGCATCAGAACATAACTTGTGGAGAAAGTGTCATTTGTCATTGGTCAGTGCTGTGGTCAGCTTCTATGGTCACTACATATTTTATTGCCTGCTACCTCTTAATCTTAGTGTCTAAGGGTCACCAATGCCGTGTTTAAGGGTGTGTAAACCTCACTGTTTATGCTATATTTTAATGTTATCCAGCATATTTCTGGATCAAGTCATACTTTATCTACATCACAGGTAAAAATGTCTATTGACCATAATCTATTAATTAATTACGCATCGCCAACTGAAAATGATATGTACAAGAGTAAAATTATTGATAATAGTTGAAAGTATATATCATATATATTGGCTGGGGTTCACTTTACCAGGCCAGAGATTGGTTTTTTACTAGTTATTCACAGACTAAGACAGATGTCTCTGGATAATTCATGACATTTTTTTTTCACTGTAAGCCAGCAAGATTTTTTGCATTGAATTCATGTCATCACTGAGCTGGCCTCTAGTATGTAGTAGGGAAGGCAAGGATAGGGGAGAGAAAAACCCATCAATATTATACCATACCTTCTTCAGATAGAGTGAAAACCCCTGTAGTTTCACTGCCAAAGATGATTTAGACAAAGGAATTAATCTGCTCATTTGCTGCGCAGAGTGCGACTGTGACTAATCTGAGTTATCTTGATTGTATGTCATTTCCAGTTGCTCCCAAAATATATATAAAATTAAAAGTGCTGTGATGGGTAGGGTGAAGAATTCTTAGAAATGTTCAGTATGTGAAATGTTTCTATTAAAATTTTTTTGGCATAATGCATATTATGTATTCACATGTTGAAAGAGTAAATATTCACTTTAAATGTTAGAGTTAAGATGCTGTATAGATGTTAATTACTTGATACTGTTCTAAATGTACTTTAATGTCCTTGGTCATCTGGTCCAGTCAGTAGGGCAAGAGTAACTGACCAAGCTCTAGATAATCTACCAATTGAATATTTTATATCTTATCATGGTGAAGCTTTCAATGTATTATAAATGATCTAATAGAAACAATTATACCCTATTTATTTTTCACAGGAACTACTGACCATTGGTCTGAAAATAAAAAAAAAGTCAATAAAAAACTGTTTGATAACAAGTTCTTGTTTTATTTGACATCAGATAAAACTAAATCAAAAATAAAATTATTTATTTTATATAATTTAAGCTTTCAATTTTACCTAATATACCCATGAAGTGTCAAATATGATCTAAATTATGTGATAAAGAAAAAGTTTGCACGTGATCCATTGAGATAAAAAGAAGCTGCAAAATGTTAGGTTTTTACAAGAGAGAAAAGTGGAAAAGAAATGATAAAACCACTTGCCAAAACTATATTGAAATGCATATAAAATAAATCACAAAATAAACATTCAATAGGCAAATATATCACTGAAGAAAAAATTGCTCCTTTGGAGAAATACATCAAAGCTTAAACTAATGAAAAAGTTAAAATTATTGCAAATTATTTAATTATATAACAAAAATCACATAAAGCATTTCTTTACTAAGAGGAACTGAGAAACAACCATGTAGTGAAAATTATACACTACTTGTGCATGAAAACAAAAATAGAGATAAAACATTGTGGAATAAAAGCAAATGTGAGAGATGCTAACAATAATCACTTAGAATTGCCAGTGTTAAAAAGAAATTAAAGTACTGTATAAGTCTGTATTTAAGTATGAAGTCCCAAATAAACGTTAAAGAAGTATCACTTACTTAATGACTTGTAAGGCAAACTTTTTTGGAGGTATAATATACTAACTTAAAAATAAAATTTAAAAAAAAATAAAAATAAGCTGAGATTTTAAAGCTAACATACTGGATATTTCTGAAAGATGATTCCTGTGGAAATAAACACTGTTAGAACAAATAAGTACCAATAATTGCAGAAATGCCAAACCTGGGTGAAATATAACACTGAACATGGCGATGACGAGATTGTCAAAAAGCATGGGCAAAACATTCAGATTCATAAAGCATGACATATATGAAACTGTCCCAATGAAATAACAGAATATTATCTCATATATGTTGCTGAAATGCTCTTCACAAAGTCAAGCTGATATTTATATGTCGGTGGTAAACATGCGTATGTTCTTGTGGGAAAAAAATCACAAAAAAAAAAAAACTTCAGTACTGTTCATATTTTTCAATGTTCCTCGCAAATCTGAGGACATCCTCTTCATCTGAAGGTGCTTCATCATCTGAGCCCGTCCCCCGGGGGACCTGCCAGGGTCGCTGTTCAAATAATGGGGAGGCTGGAATGAAAATTGTTCATATCAGTTAAACATTGGGCTTTGTCCTTTCGCAATACAAAATGGCTTATTCGGATCTCTCTCTCTCTCTCTCTCTCTGTTCGCTCTGCTCTCTGTTCTTATATACCAATACAACTGCATTCAGTGTGGTCTACAACACATGACAGTTACTAGCCACAATGCTGTCCAGTCGGTATGAGGTAAGAACGAGAAAAAGATGGAGGGAGGGAGAAAGAGAGAGAGGGGTAGGGAAGGATGGATGAATGGATGGAAAGAGAGAGAGAGGGGGGGGTAGACAGTGAGTGAGAGAGGGAGGGAGAGAGGGAAGGCAAGAGAGAAAGACAAATAGATCTTTACATGGAGTATCTCTCTCAGTCCTGACTGCCTTCACTCTGGGGACTGGCAGGACTGGTGGGGGTCTCCGGGAGGCATCCAAGTGCGCCGCGCTGAGGAGGAAATATATAGAATAAACATATAAAATCACACTATAAAATTATGTATTTTATTTTTTTTATCAGGCATCTGGATTTGAGATTACAAATTCAGCTGCAGGAAATATTCATGGTCTTTTAAATGATTCACTTTAAAGAGAAGAAGCTGAAAGAGTGATGGGAGCGGATGCTAAAAAACGTGTGTGCGTGTGTGTGTGGGGGAACCTCTCCTGATTTTTACAATTTTCAACCCCAAACATGGTGGTGCCTGCCTTACCTATTCATAAAAGGTGCTCCAGTTGGCACCTTGGCCCAATCAGGGCGCCCATCACCCCTTGCGTGCCCACTTCCTGGATCACTGCCCACTGTGCTGCCATCTGTTGGGAAATCTGTACCCTGCAAGATTGATGGATATTGTCTCAAACAGACTATCCACTTTAACTGAATGAATTTTTAGTTGATGATTTTAATTGAAAGGGAAAATAGGAAAGAAAAATAGACAATAAAATAACTCAGCCGAGGAGTAAAAAGTGGGAACAAAACTAACTACTAGTAAATTTAATATATCTGACAAACTGTATATTAGGGAAGTCAAATATTGTCACAATTATACTAAAGCAGGGCTGTGATATCAAATTTACCTACACAAAAATTTTCATACTTGAATTCTTTCATCCAAAGTGAACAGTATATCAGCAAATATACAGACGAAACAAAGCTTTAAAACTGAGCAAGCAAATCTGCATGCAAAAACTCTTAATAACTGCAAAAAGACTGCTGCAAGCAAATGAATCACTCTCAACAAATCAAATACAAATACTAGGTATTTCATCTCAAGCCTCATAATTCAGCAAATAAAAAGCATGATATTTCATTTCAGCTGCACACTGTAAAGACACGAATCAGTGATAAAAGACGCAGTCTCACTCTTAAATGTCAGCATGAAATGTGCATCTTAATGCAACATGTTAAAATAAGCCTAATTACCTAACATCTGAAATGCAACTTTAAACTTCATGATTCAGCAAATAACAAGCATGGTATTTCAATTATAACTGTTACAGCAAACTGCAAACTCTTATAACATTTCAACTGCAACTCCAGCAAATTCAGCAAATTGCAAGCACGGTATTCAAATATCAACTGCAACTGAATTTACAAATGTACATAATTCTTCAACTGCGGTACCACTCAAAATACCAGTATAAAAATGTGATTTCAACAAAACAGCAGTGTCCACACAGCTTTTCTCACTCCAGCCACGGCAGAGGCACTTACTACATGTTGGTCACCAAGATAATTATACACTCTGTGGTATGAGTTCCACAAGAAGGGCGTGGTTGGTTCCTGATTGTGTTGTTCTATATCCTCTCTCTATTGTATAACAGACAGTGTGTTAGGTGAGACAGAGAAATGTGTTAGTTGTGATAGTAGCAGTCTGTTAGATGCAACAGAAAACTGTGTTGTTGTGACAGCTGACAAGTGTATGAATGGGTCTGGCATGTTTGGAAGAAGTCTGTGTTGTTTATATAAAGAATGCAGACTGTGGAATTGTGACTGACCTAACAGGCTGAATAAAATGTGGCAAAACATGTCAACATATCACATTATTTTATAAAACGAAAGAAATAATCCACGAATCTATATCCATTGATAAGTTGGCTTTAACTGTAGATATCATTCTGCTTAGTGAATCACAAACCACTCACAGTAAGAGATCTTGACCTCCTTGGGTTTGTGACTATCTTAGTATTGAGCACATTCTTTCCTGTCTTCACTTTACTTTTGGCTTCCTTTGAGATCTGCTCTGTCTCAGCACTGTAAAAACCTTTTTTTCTCCTGTCAGAAAGACATATCTGTCAGTTACCATGATGATAAATAATATCCAGATACAACTACACAATTATTTTGATACTTTCAAGGTAATTTCTCAGAAACATTTCTCAACATAATAGTGTTTTACTTCAAGAACCTCTTTAAATTGCCTCAACAGCAAAAATAAAAATTTTCGGATTCTGTTTTAAAATAAGCACACTTATCANTAAAAAAAAAAAAAAAAGTTGCAATATGGAAATAAATGAAGAAATAGGAACAGCATATAAATAAGCAGATCTCTTCCTTAAAAATAATATATTAGTTTATAATAATAACAATAAAAAAATCTTACAGCCTGGAAACTTTTTCCACTTCATCTTCATTATCCAAGTAATTATATCTCCAAGTGTCCTTAGGTGTGGGATCAGATCCCTTCCAGGGGGGTGGTTTTCCTGGAACGGCTGCAGCAGGTTTCCTGGAGGAAGAGGTGGGCGTGTCTTTCCCTGACCTTGGCCTTGGAGGCCTACGACTCCGCCTGTCATGGTCATCTTTTGGGGAATGTATTGTCATGCTCTCCATGTCTTCTGACGGAGGAGGCAAAGTGGACTCTGGTTTGGGATACTCCTGTGAGGTTGACATAGAGATTTATTTAATTGTGCTGCATCATTCATATGTTGTCTAAGCTATCCATGAATGTGGAAACAACCAACACAATCCTTACAGTTACACCTAACACAATCTCCTGTCCCAGACAACACAATCATCAGGCACAACTGACACATTTCCTTCAGTCACACCTAACACATTCACTGGTCACAACTAACACAATGCATACCTTTGGTCTGATATACTGTATTCCTCTAATTGTTTCTACATAATGTTTCTTCCACAGGCCTCTCTCATACGGACTGGGTGTGAAGGGCAGGTACCAGCCCAGCCGCATACACTTGCCCATCCAGATCTCATCTGACTCTGCAAGGAATTTCCAGTACCAGCACACCTGAAACAATGTAATAATCACATGTCACAACTACCGCAATCATATGTAACATCTAGCAGAACTACCTGTCACATCTGACACAATGATTTGTCATCTCTAATGCAGTGATTGGACATATTTAACACAATATATGCTGTTAACTTAATTCTTAGCTTTTCCATTCAACCCATGGTAGATTGTTAACAAGATAAACTCACCACTGAGTTGTGAAAGAAAATTATGCTACTACCTTGCAACCCAAGACCAGAGATTAAGAACTGCCTTGGACGTATCTCAATCAATTTTAATATTTGAAATTGAGTGACTTAGATCCCAAGGCTCTCCCACTCAAGCTGCAAGACATGAGAGGGTTTAAAGCAGCCAGACTTACCCTTGAGCTCCGACACAGGCTACGTGGGTCGAGAAAAGAGAAGAGATAGAGAGAGAGGACTCTAGGCAGCACCCGCGTGAAGTCCTGGTGATAAATGGGGACTTTTTTGTTCACTATGTCTGCAGTGAATTCCAGCTGCTTCTTCCTACATTTTCCTGTGAGATCTTCAAGTATTTTCTTTCTTTGTTCATCTGTCCATTTGTCAAACTGCACATAATGATAATAACAACAACAACAATACTACTACTTATAATAAAAACAATAATAATTAATTTATTAAAAACCATTGGTGGACAAATTAATATTGTTTTTTTTTTCAATTGCAATGTGTAAAAATTTTGCACATATGCAATACTTTCAGTCACCTTATTGAATCAGGACAGCCTTTACTTGAAAGCAAGTACACAAAGGAAAAAATTAAGTATGCTCTGAATAATCATTTGCTCACCCATTTTGATACTAGTTGTCGCCTTTCTTCAAATATCTGAAAGGTGAATTTAGAAGAAGTAATAAATTATATTTTTTCATCCAGAGTGCGCATGGTGCATCAGTTTTCCAACATTTGATCCTGAGCATTGCCTATGCAAAGATTTACATAGTGATAACATCATTTTTTGATAACCTTGAAATCATTGAAATCATTAATAAATGCGGAAGCACTCTACAACACTTATGTCTTATTAACAGTGTACCCAGCAAGCACAAACCCAATTATTCTCTAACTGAACTTCATTTCAGTTTTCTTTATCGCAACAGGAATTTATGTATCAGTTGGAAATTTTACAGGCTTGACAGGTTTTGAGAACTGAGTAAAGCCACTGAAAATATTCTTTAAAGAGTTCGACATTTTTACAGTGTTGACATAATTAGGTGATTGTTAACGCTAATGGGGATTCACCTGGTGATTGTGATCCTCGTTACTCAGCGGTGTCCAACTGCTTTTAAGTCTGTTTTTGGCGACAAGAGATATTCTAGCGTCTCTTGACATCGACATGATGGTTAATTTACGGTCAATCTGTGGCATCCAGATCTACGTCATGCAACATCCTGTCGCCGAAAAATATTTGAAATCAAATTTCTGCTCCGATTTGTTTACACCGCCATATTGAAAAAAAAATGGATGATGGGAACGACCTTCGGGTGACCTATCACTCCTTTCTATTTCGATATTACCAAGCGTCTGTGTATATTTTGTACTTCAGATTGTGGAGTAAATCATTAAAAGACAATTTTGATGGTTTAATCTTGTATTTGAAAGTTAAAAATCCTGCGAAACTAAAATCTCGAAAAACTTCCTAATGACGTCACTCTGGGTGCAGACCAACATGGAAGGGTGTTAGTCTGTCATTTTCTTTACTGTTTGCCATCGATTTTTTTCTCTCATGAATAGCGTAATTTTTACCTGACCTACGTGGAAATATTTAAATTAGCCTAAAGCTTGGAAATATACAGTTTGCTTTTGTTTAGGTGAGTATTTTTATTGAGAAAACAGTGAACGAACGCCGAGGAGAAAAACGCTGAATGAGAAAGAAACCGTAGTGTCTGTGTAGTAGTCAGTAACATTTCCACATGTTATGGTATTTCCTATCCAATAATTTGATAGTTAAAGTGACAGTTTTATGCGAAAGGAGTGCAACAAGAAGATTATAAAGGTACTTTGAAAATTGCATTCGATTATAATGATAAATAAATAGAATAAGCATAGAGCATCCCGTTGGCAGCATTCCAACAAATTTTCCTCCATTCTCACTCTAGCCTATCTCGGTGTCTGAGATAAGACTGGGTTGTAGCAAGAATCATTGCATTGCATGAATAAAGTATTGATAATAAGAAGCAGGTCCTGGCCATTCACAATCAATTTAATTACATTTGTGTCCCAGCTATGTTTCTTCCTTTACAACATCATTATTTCTGAATTTCTTTTTAAAAGAGGACAGACCTGACAAAAACTCTAGCTCAGTTTATAATGAAGTAGCTGGCCTAACTGACTTATAGGTAGATCATGTGCTCACTGACTTAACTTTCAGCAGGTCTAATAAGACAACTGATCAATTACAACATGTCTTATGGGAGATACAGTTTAGAGTACTTGTTCAGTTATCAATTTACATACCAATATATATAAACAAATTGGTTGTTAATAATGCAGATATTTAGCTTTGAAAATGTGCCCTTTTCCTTAGACCTGAGAGATTATTAGCTATGTGATCTGTGATGTACTTCTTGTCAATGTTGTCTCATAAAAGACGGGGCTATCAGGTTGAGCTATCTGACAGAATGGTCATTATCTACCTGTGAGATGTGTTTCCAAATTCAATAACAGCCCATGTTCTTTCACTTTTCTTACCTGTAGGGGTAAAGACCCTTTGATGTCCATTTGCTTTTCTATAATTGAACTTTTTAAGCACTTTTAAACCGGTCAATTTTGCTGAGCAAATAAATGGGGGAAATAACTAAACAGCAGACACTTTACATTGGGATACCATGGAGACCTTGTGGCCTGTTATTATTTGCAGTGGTTAACACTAGTCAAAATATTGTTTTTGCATAGTAAACAGGAGTCAAGAATCCGGTTGGGAAGCTTGCACTTCTAATACCCCCTTTACACTGGACGGCGTCCTTTCTGCGACCATGAAATTTGGCATCGCTGTGGTCTTAATAAGGAGGTACAGGCATTGATTTTGTATCAGAATGAATGCTCAATGATCGGCCAGTTGTCGGCACGTAAAATATTATAATTTTTTAACTCTCAAATGGGACCGTACTGCTGGACGCAGAAAGGACGCCGTCCAGTGTAAAGGGGGCTTAAGTCTTGCACTTCTAAGTCTTCAATTTTCAACTAAAATGATATTTTTGGTAAGAAATAATTATCACTTTGTGATTCATTCTTCAGAACTGTTTTATTACGGGTGTCTCCATGGTTTCTATGTCTAAAATTCTCCAATTTATAGCACAACTTTCCCAAATTCAAGTTGATGCTTAACCCTATCAGGCAATTAGCGCATCACAGATTCTGTGACCTACAGCTGTTTTTTATATTTGCAGGTCAAGGTAAGTTGTTTTCAGAGGCATTGATCTTTTTTTAAAGGGGAGGGAGGGGTTGATATATCAGATTAACGGTGGAATTTTTTGCAAAACCTTTTGGTCATCCTTTTACTATTTATGGGTCTGTTAATGGACATTTTTGAAGCAAGTGACATAGTATGAATAAAATACAAGCAGATCTCCTGATGAAAGACATTTTTCTTGTATGTGTGTCTCTTCCTTTGTTACCTCACAGATGAAACAAACTCCCCCTCCTTGAATTTTTTTCTTCCTAAAGACGAATTCACCATTCCTACTATTATATATGTCTATTTCCAGGATATTACAGATAAAACAACCCTCCCCACTCCTGATGTTTTTTCTTTCTTCAGACAATGCCACCATTCATATCTATCTGATAATCTCTATTTCTAGGATGTCACAGATGAAACAAACCCCCCACTCCTGGTGTTAGCTTTCTTAAGACAATGTTACCATTCATATCTCTAGTTCTAGGAAGTCACAGATGAAACAAACCCCTTACTGCTGGTGTAAGCTTTCTTAAGACAGTGTTACCATTCATATCTTTATTTCTAGGATGTCACAGATGAAACAAACCCCCCTCCTGGTGTTAGATTTCTTAAGACAGTGTTACCATTCATATCTTTATTTCTAGGATGTCACAGATGAAACAAACCCCCCCTCCTGGTGTTAGATTTCTTAAGACAGTGTTACCATTCATATCATTATTTCTAGGATGTCACAGATGAAACAAACCCCCCCTCCTGGTGTCAGTGACCCTGGCCCTGGAAATACAGGTGAGTGAGTAAATACAGGTGAGTGATGACCAGTGTGATACAGTTGCCCTAAAAAAAACTTACTGATAACTCTTACACCAATCTGAGATCATAGTCCTAGACCTTAGACACTGGTCTGAAATAAATTGGCCGCTTTGGTAAAAAAAAAAGTTACCAGCCCAATTTTGCTAGTAAAGGTTTTTGACAGTTTCTTAATGTGTGTAGTATTATCTCCTGACAGTTTGTTTCTATTAGATTGTATGGAAGTGACCAACAACAAAATCAAGAATGATGAAAATTGTTGACTGGGAACCAGTTGTCCAATTGACCCAGAAATCAATTTCTTACTAAGACGGACCTTCTCATGTTTAGTTACCACAATAATATATATCTAAAAGATAAAAGTAGAAAAAGCAATGGAACATAGAACCAATTGAAGTAGTATAGGAAGTTCAAAACATCCTGCCTGAGGTAGATCTATCAGCTATGTGTGATAAAATCAGCCAGTCATATTTTATAACAGGTTCTTTCTCTCTCTCTCTCTCTCTCTCTCTGTCAGGATCTGGTATAGCGGTGAGCACTGCTGCAGCCACCACCCCCATGCTGCAGCTGGCCTCACCCCAGGGGATGATGGCTCCCGCCCCAGGGGTTGGGTTAACCCCTGGGCTGGTAACCGTACCCGGAGTTATCCCCACAGCTGTTATACCTGGTATGTGTGGGTAGGGCTTAGGGAGAGGGGTGGGGTGGCAAGGAGAAGAGTGGGAGGGGGATATAAACAGTTTAGTAAACCAAGAAGTTAATTGACAACATTACTGTAACTGTAATAGGCTTTACATTTTTCTTAACTATTCTATAAGCTTTTAAATAAATTGTTGAGTATATTGAAAAATTTATATGAATGAACCACTTATTTGTAGCATTTGTAAAAAACGTGAAATATCTTTCTCTGTTGGAATATGTTTGGAATGTGTACTGTATAAGTTGCAAAAGAATGGAAGGGGCAGTGTGGTGGGGGGATGAAAAGACACATCAGGAAAATAGTTTAACAAATTATCCCAAATAATTTTTGATTTATGTATGGCAAAATAACAGCATTTTTCATATTCAGATTTGTAAATTTCTCTCTTTCCTCTCACTGTCCACCAGGTGGTGCTGGAGCAGTGATGGCCCAGCAGATGGTGCCAGTCAAAGATGCTCCAGTATTCCACAGAAAGTCAGATCCCGCCACTGCCACCGCTGTCCCGACACCACCCGGGGCAGGTGGAGATGGTCAAGTGTCCATGGCAAACACAAAAGAGAAAACCCCAATGTGCTTAATCAATGAGTTAGCCCGCTACAATAAGGTACCTGAATTGTCATGTAATTTAGTAGAAAGTCTTTGGAAAACATTTCATCTTTTAAAAATCACATTGAGGTCTGTTCTTATGTTAAAAAAAATGTTTGATTTTGATTGTAATTTTTTAGATATTATATCAGGTACATATTTTCTTTAATTGAGGATTCATTTGAATACTTGTATGTTTTCTAATATTGATATTTGTTCTTAAATCTAGGAAAAGAAAAAAAAATGGAAAGTACTGATTGGTTTTGTTTTTATTCTCCTCAGATACTCCACCAATACACATTAACTGACGAACAAGGCCCAGCTCACAAGAAAACTTTCTTTGTGAAGCTGAAGTTAGGTGACGAAGAGTACGCAGCAAATGGCGCCAGCATCAAAAAGGCGCAGCATGCAGCAGCTGACATTGCGTTAGAGAAGACACAGTACAAACATCCTCCGCCTAAACCATCAAAGTATGTGGATGGTACAGGAGTCTGTGGTATGCTGAATAAACTTTGTTACAGTTTTGATGAAAAGTATCATTGTATTAGAGGGTGGGGCCTTCGTGAGCCTCTTATTATTTTTCATTATCGACATCTTGATATGAAGATGAATTATGAGTATGATGGCAGAAACAACATTTATTTATTTTTTTCCAAATAGTTTTCCTTTAAATTGTTTTTCATTGTTACCAGTTATTCTAAAGCCAACTGTCCAAAGATGGAATATAAAATAACTGACTTCACTTGACTTATTTTTCTTTTTAATCAGTATGTCAGATTATTATGTTATTCTGCCACCTTTTTTAAGGACAATTTCATGAAATCATTCTGTTATTCTTTCCCCAAGATCCTTCTTCCTCCGGTACCATAACTCCCACAGTGGAACTGAACGCTCTGGCCATGAAACGAGGAGAACCTGCTGTGTACCGCCCCATTGAGCCTCCCAGACCTGCGTGCTATGGGCCACCTAACTTGGACTTCAGGGGCATGTACAACCAAAGGTAAATAACATGTACAACCAAAGGTAAATAACATGTACAATCAAAGGTAAATAAAAGCCTAAAGAAAATTGATTTTTTTTTTTTTTTTTTTTTTTGGGGGGGGGGGGGGGGGGCTTTTTGGTTTGAGGGGGCAACCCTTTTTTCTTTTTTTAGGGTTTTTTTTTTTTTTTTTTTTTTCCACCAAAAAAAAATATTTCTGAAGGAGTATGTTGNATTAGGAGCTTTTCAGTCTGAAGTGGCAACCCTTTTTCTCATTTTAAGGGTATTTCTTTTTATTATTTTCTTACCACCAAAATGCCTGGTAGACATGTGAATACACAGACAGGCTTGCTTTTGCGCTTCATTTGAAATCCATTTGCAAAGATTAATAATGACTCTTTTTCTAAAGCAGAAACGGGCTATTATTAAATTTAATTTAGTTTGTTACAAAAGAACATGTCAGATTATTTCATATGATTGAGTGAGATGAAGTCAAGCAGCAGCGTAGGTAAGAAAATATCATAGTAGAAGACTTCCAAATTGGCAGATAAATTGACAACATAGCTGCAACCCGGGTAATATCCAGACTTTCTTTTCTAGATATCATTATCCAAAAGCACAGAAAGTGTTCTACGTGTCCTTGAAGGTGGGCAACCGAGAATTCATGGGTGAGGGCAACACGCGCCAGGCTGCTCGCCATCTTGCCGCTTCGAAGGCCCTGAAAACACTGGCCGCTCTCCCTATGCCAAATCAAGAAAAAGCACCACTCCAAGTGAGCGACGGAGTGGGTGACGGTGGTAAGTATCCTGGAGATTTGCAGCACGTGCAGTAGGTTACCAGACATGGGGAAAAACTTTGAAAATGCTGAAGGTCTAGAGGACATATGCAAGAAGAAATCTGAAGGTTCTCACAACATTCTTCGGAGTTCAAACTAAGTAATTTATTTCTGTTAGACTATGTTTACATGCTAGTTATTATTATTATGTGTAGTATTTTCACATAAACCTAGCTAGTCCTAAAGACTTGGGATATTAAAAATCTTGCAGGTCCTCTAGCATTTCAATTTGGTCATCTCCAGTGGGACAGGTGGTTTCCCCATGTCTGGATAACACTGGCATAGTCACATGATGTTACTTTCTCTTATGCTGTCTTTGATGTAAGGCATAAATGTTAGATTTTGGTGATTGGATATAAGAAATGTTGTGCACCCAGAGCCAGCATTTGCCTGACATCATCTTTCATTACATCTTTTACAAACTTACACATTTATGTCTCACCACTGTAATCACTTTATCACAACTAACACAATGTTTCTGTTACAAATAACTTGATAACTGTGTCACAGCTGACACAATGACTGTCACAACTGACACAATGTCTAGCACAGCAGATGCAATGACTGTGTCATAAGTCCACTAACACAGTTTTCTTGTTTTCAGCTGCTAATGGTGCTACTGATGACCAACTGAAGTCGGAAATCAGCCTGGTTCATGAAATTGCCCTCAAGAGGAACCTAGCTGTGAACTTTGAAGTGAGTTTGTGTTAGATTCAACGGTGAACTGTTGCTTCTCGTAATAAGCACTGCATATCAGTGTCATATATGCTAATATGAACATGGTTCAAATTCTGAGTGATTTCTTTATTTTTATTTTTTTTTATTGAATGATTTTACAGTGCACTCTCAGTAGTGTGGAAGGAAGCATTTTGTAAAATAGAAAATGTGCTTTATGGTAATAGAAAGTTTCAGTGTATTTATTATAATTTAAATAAGAGAAGTCTTTCCTTCATGCTTGCTTTCAATATTACAGTAAGTATTTCTTTCCAAACTGTTTTAAGGAACCTGCCCATTTCTGAAATTTTTCTCTATGCTTTGTTACAGATAACCCGCGAATCTGGTCCCCCACACATGAAACTGTTCATCACGAAATGCACGTGTGGGGAATTCGAAACCGAAGGCGAGGGCAACAGCAAGAAGATCTCAAAGAAACGAGCAGCAGAGATGATGCTGGAGAGGCTGCAGAAGTTGCCCCCAGTCACACAACAAGTGGTGAAGCCTAAGATCAAAAGACCCATGGCTAAGAAGAAGAATCGTAACCTTGTTAAGGTTGTACCTGAGGCCAGTATAAATATATAACACATATGATAATAATAATAATAATAATAATAATAGTAATAATAACATAATCTTGTCTTGTACTTAAACCATAACCACAGTACAAATCTTTGCCATAGACTACTTCGCAGTATTCTCTAGGTTCAGCAAATCAACTTGATCTTCAGCATAGGCATAGAGCCATTGGGCGTCTACTATAAATTGTGCAGGTCAAGAAAAAAAGTACATTTCCGCTGTGTTGTTTTGTCTACAAAATCTGATGTTTGACATGTTTTTCCAGGTCCAGAAAGCCAGCTTGGACTACGGCGTGGGTATCAACCCCATTAGTCGACTAATTCAGATCCAGCAGGCTAAGAAGGAGAAGGAGCCTGTGTACACGCTGGTGGCTGAGAAGGGGATGCCGAGGAAGAGAGAGTTTATTATGCAGGTGAATTGACTCACAGGGAAATGGAGAGTGAACATGTATATGCAAGCACTTAGGCATGCTAACATGGTCTCAACCATAGACACGATCAGACACATACACTTGTAATAAGATTGAGATTCACATCATTTAATAAGCAACACACTGTTATGTTGCAAAAATACATAATCACACATGCAAATGCACACAAACACACGCCAAGGTTACGTTATGTTACAAAAATAGCAAATGTTGCTAGTGCCATCTGAAAACTTTTGCTTGACAGTAGGGTGAAGGTAGTTAACAGATTGTTGTCTTGCTTAAACATATTCTGTCATACTTGTCTTTGGCTTTGATTTAGCATGAAACTCCTGCCATAACTTCTTCAACATTCAATTTCTCCTCACAGGTCACAGTGGGTGACAAGCAGTGTAAAGGCACGGGGCCTAACAAAAAGCTGGCCAAGAGAAATGCAGCAGAGAGTATGCTACAGGAACTGGGCTATAGCCGCCCTGCACCCCAGCCTACCAAGTCTTCTATCAAAACAGCCANAACTTGTCTTTGGCTTTGATGTAGCATGAAACTCCTGCCATAACTTCTTCAACATTCAATTTCTCCTCACAGGTCACAGTGGGTGACAAGCAGTGTAAAGGCACGGGGCCTAACAAAAAGCTGGCCAAGAGAAATGCAGCAGAGAGTATGCTACAGGAACTGGGCTATAGCCGCCCTGCACCCCAGCCTACCAAGTCTTCTATCAAAACAGCCAATGGGGAGGTAATGTGAACTGTGTATTAATTAACAGCTGTGTGGGGACTGTTTCACAAAACGACTTAAGTTCAAGATCAATTTGTGAAACAGGCTTGTGTTCTTTTATAATAAGAATGCTGCAGTAGTCATCCTTGTTGTTAAAGGATAATGATGGCAAGTGCCTGTGGTAACACCTGGTTATTATTTATATGCATGCATTATATGTGTGTGTCTGCATGCTTGTATCAGAGGTATTTTGAAATTTCAATGTGTCGGTGGATATTAAGAGATGAAGGTTTGTTCTCTGTCAAGCAGTCTCTGTTATCATAAGTGATGTTCTGTTATAGTGTCATCTTGTTGAAAGTGAAAGTGAAAGTGAGGATTCAGCCAAGGAGGTAAAGGGTGTGTCCATTGTTTGTCCACTGTGTGTCCTTTTTGTAACCACCTAGTGTCTGCTGTGTATTATCCACTATGTGTCCTGGGTGCAGCAAAGAGCAGCTTACATGTAGTTGACTAAAATAATGATGTGTATTTTAGATGAATGATACAAAACACAGCCTCACAAGTAATTTGATGTTATTTTTCTAACCATACATTAGGCTAGGTCAACATTTTACTGGTTTGTGTCTTGTCTAACTCGGTGTGAACTGAAGTAATTTCTTGAAGTGTGCTGTGTTGAGTATTTGCTTAATGTGCCGAAATATTAATGTAGAACACCACAAATAGTTTGATAACGTGTATGCAGTGTTAGATGAATATTGATTAGGATAGCACTGAAACTTCAGTGGTAATCTTTTTTTCGCATATCAGTCATTAAAAACATAGGTGAATCAACATACGAAATGCTATTTGGTGCTCTTCAGTGAAAGCTAAATAAACAGTATATGATATTATATCTCTTGCAGGGAGGAATAGATAAGAAGGTCCACTTTGTTGACAGTGCAGAAGGCGCTAGTAACGGAGCCGAGCCAGTAGATGCTAAACCCGTGTCCGGACGGTCAGTCAAGGTGCCTGGGGTGCTGGTCAGATCTGACCAGGGCTATGCTTCCTCTGGTATGCCTCAGTATTCACTTCAGCAACCATGATCTTCATGTGTTATATCTACCTGACAAAGTGCCACTTCTAGACGTAGTCGCTCAGACAATAACAACTAATACTATTGCTCATACATTGGCACAATTGTGAAATAGAAAATTTAATATAAGAATTAGTCAACAAAGTCTTGTCACATCTAACACAGTCTTGTCGCATCAGCGGTCATGTTGCATAACAAAATTATAGACTTGTGCTTTGGGTCAATGTCTTGTCAAAGTCATTTACTGTATAAAATACTCTGTCCACAAATTTTATACATTACTTTATTAATATATCCAGGTGTCACACCTCCCTCTCAGCCAGGAGTGGTACCAGAGTCCAGGTTTACCCCACAGACTATAGCCGCCATTGCACAGGAACTGCTGGATAAAGGTGATATAACCTAGCCTGTTTGATAATATTATATGTTCTAGATCATCCATTAGTGTGGAATCAAAGTTTTGTTTAGTATTGTATGTTCTGATTTACCCAGAAGTGTGGTCAATAAATTTGTTTGGTTACTGGTCAATGTTTTTGCCTTGGGCCAGTAGATTTTTAGACTTATGGTTTGAAATGTTATAGTCAAGATAGTAATTTATCATCTTTCTCACTAAATTCTTTCCCGACTACATATCCTTATCCTCATAATGTGTCTTGTTTATAACAGGCAGTTCTAAGACTGCAGAAGCCATTCTGCGTACTGGGCAGAGACCACTGTCCAGTAGACCCACTGTCCAGCCCAAAGATCAACTCTGCTACCTGGCAGAGGTGCTGTGCTTCGAAGTCAGGTTTACGGATTTTCCCAAAGTAAGTCCTCTTGTAAGCAGATAATTGCTGTGTTATTATTATAGCATGAAGGAAATTGATAAGGCCCTTGGGCTGTTTGCTCACATTTGAGGTATTATTATCCTAATTTTTTCTTCCTCTAGGATATATTTGTGGTTGTTGTAAAAAGATTCTGGTAGGGAATTCTTAGAAGTTGTGACACTCAGAACATCACCAGTAGCATACTTTCATACTTAAAGTTCACTAGTACACTGTCACGCCTAACACAATGTTATATCTAGTACACTGTCACACCAAACACAATGTTATATCTAGTACACTGTCACACCTAACACAATNTACTTGTCTTTGGCTTTGATTTAGCATGAAACTCCTGCCATAACTTCTTCAACATTCAATTTCTCCTCACAGGTCACAGTGGGTGACAAGCAGTGTAAAGGCACGGGGCCTAACAAAAAGCTGGCCAAGAGAAATGCAGCGGAGAGTATGCTACAGGAGCTGGGCTATAGCCGCCCTGCACCCCAGCCTACCAAGTCTTCTATCAAAACAGCCAATGGGGAGGTAATGTGAACTGTGTATTAATTAACAGCTGTGTGGGGACTGTTTCACAAAACGACTTAAGTTCAAGATCAATTTGTGAAACAGGCTTGTGTTCTTTTATAATAAGAATGCTGCAGTAGTCATCCTTGTTGTTAAAGGATAATGATGGCAAGTGCCTGTGGTAACACCTGGTTATTATTTATATGCATGCATTATATGTGTGTGTCTGCATGCTTGTATCAGGGGTATTTTGAAATTTCAATGTGTTGGTGGATATTAAGAGATGAAGGTTTGTTCTCTGTCAAGCAGTCTCTGTTATCATAAGTGATGTTCTGTTATAGTGTCATCTTGTTGAAAGTGAAAGTGAAAGTGAGGATTCAGCCAAGGAGGTAAAGGGTGTGTCCATTGTTTGTCCACTGTGTGTCCTTTTTGTAACCACCAAGTGTCTGCTGTGTATTATCCACTATGTGTCCTGGGTGTAGCAAAGAGCAGCTTACATGTAGTTGACTAAAATAACAATGTGTATTCTAGATGAATTAAACAAAACACAGCCTCATAAGTAATTTGATGTTATTTTTCTAACCATACATTAGGCTAGGTCAACATTTTACTAGTTTGTGTCTTGTCTTACTCAGAGTGAACTGAAGTAATTTCTTGAAGTGTGCTGTGTTGAGGATTTGCTTAATGTGCCGAAATATTAGTGTAGAACACCACAAATAGTTTGATAACGTGTATGCAGTGTTAGATGAATATTGATTAGGATAGCACTGAAACTTCAGTGGTAATCTTTTTTTCGCATATCAGTCATTAAAAACATAGGTGAATCAACATACAAAATGCTATTCGGTGCTCTTCAGTGAAAGCTTATCAAAATTTCAGTATTTTTTTTCTTTGAATTACGTGGTATTTTTTGAGCTTCTGTGAATTATTACTTGTTGTCATGAAATCAAAATAATCTCTTTGATAAAAGAGACGCAAATCTGGCCATGAAGACATACATGTTGTAGAAATATGCTAAAAATACTGGAAACCTGCTGTCATTTGTAGTAATTTTATTGCATGAAATAAAATACTTTTTATGGCACCTGCCCCCTAATATACACTGTATAAAAGTTCCAAACTTTGCTAAATGTATACATTTCACCAAATAAACGGTATATGATATTATATCTCTTGCAGGGAGGAATAGATAAGAAGGTCCACTTTGTTGACAGTGCAGAAGGCGCTAGTAACGGAGCCGATCCAGTAGACGCTAAACCCGTGTCCGGACGGTCAGTCAAGGTGCCTGGGGTGCTGGTCAGATCTGACCAGGGCTATGCTTCCTCTGGTATGCCTCAGTATTCACTTCAGCAACCATGATCTTCATGTGTTATATCTACCTGACGAAGTGCCACTTCTAGACATAGTCGCTCAGACAATCACAACTAATACTATTGCTCATACATTGGCACAATTGTGAAATAGAAAATTTAATATAAGAATTAGTCAACAAAGTCTTGTCACATCTAACACAGTCTTGTTGCATCAGCAGTCATGTTGCATAACAAAATTATAGACTTATGCTTTGGGTCAATATCTTGTCAGAGTCGTTTACTGTATATAATACTCTGTCCACAAAATTCATACATTACTTTATTAATATATCCAGGTGTCACACCTCCCTCTCAGCCAGGAGTGGTACCAGAGTCCAGGTTTACCCCTCAGACTATAGCCGCCATTGCCCAGGAACTGCTGGATAAAGGTGATATAACCTAGCCTGTTTGATAATATTATATGTTCTAGATCATCCAGTAGTGTGGAATCAAAGTTTTGTTTAGTATTGTATGTTCTGATTTATCCAGAAGTGTGGTCAATAAATTTGTTTGGTTACTGGTCAATGTTTTTGCCTTGGGCCAGTAGATTTTTAGACTTATGGTTTGAAATGTTATAGTCAAGATAGTAATTTATCATCTTTCTCACTAAATTCTTTCCCGACTACATATCCTTATCCTCATAACGTGTCTTGTTTATAACAGGCAGTTCTAAGACTGCAGAAGCCATTCTGCGTACTGGGCAGAGACCACTGACCAGTAGACCCACTGTCCAGCCCAAAGATCAACTCTGCTACCTGGCAGAGGTGCTGTGCTTCGAAGTCAGGTTTACGGATTTTCCCAAAGTAAGTCCTCTTGTAAGCAGGTAATTGCTGTGTTATTATTATAGCATGAAGGAAATTGATAAGGCCCATGGGCTGTTTGCTCACATTTGAGGTATTATTATCCTAATTTTTTCTTCCTTTAGGATATATTTGTGGTTGTTGTAAAAAGATTCTGGTAGGGAATTCTTAGAAGTTGTGACACTCAGAACATCACCAGTAGCATACTTTCATACTTAAAGTACACTAGTACACTGTCACACCAAACACAATGTTATATCTAGTACACTGTCACACCTAACACAATGTGATATCTAGTACACTGTCACACCTAACACAATGTGATATCTAGTACACTGTCACACCTAACACAATGTTATATCCAGTACACTGTCACACCTAACACAATGTTATATCCAGTACACTGTCACACCTAACACAATGTGATATGTAGTACACTGTCACACCTAACACAATGTTATATCCAGTACACTGTCACACCTAACACAATGTTATATCCAGTACACTGTCACACCTAACACAATGTTATATCCAGTACACTGTCACACCTAACACAATGTTATATCCAGTACACTGTCACACCTAACACAATGTTATATCCAGTACACTGTCACACCTAACACAATGTTATATCCAGTACACTGTCACACCTAACACAATGTTATATCCAGTACACTGTCACACCTAACACAATGTTATATCCAGTACACTGTCACACCTAACACAATGTTATATCCAGTACACTGTCACACCTAACACAATGTTATATCCAGTACACTGTCACACCTAACACAATGTTATATCCAGTACACTGTCACACCTAACACAATGTTATATCCAGTACACTGTCACACCTAACACAATGTTATATCCAGTACACTGTCACACCTAACACAATGTTATATCCAGTACACTGTCACACCTAACACAATGTTATATCCAGTACACTGTCACACCTAACACAATGTTATATCCAGTACACTGTCACACCTAACACAATGTTATATCCAGTACACTGTCACACCTAACACAATGTTATATCCAGTACACTGTCACACCTAACACAATGTTATATCCAGTACACTGTCACACCTAACACAATGTTATATCCAGTACACTGTCACACCTAATACACTTTACCTGTTTTCAGGGACCCCACAAGACGGAATATCTCTCCTTGGTTACAGTATCCTTGAACCCGCCACAAGTAAGTCAGGGAGCTGGAGCAACCATACAGGCTTCCCATAATGCAGCAGCTTTGACTGCACTTAAAGCAATGGCGGAGATGGGTGGTGACAAGGCTGTAGATGGCGCTAGTGCAAAAGCTGATGCCCTCGCTGGGGGAGACGGGTAGGTCGTTTTAACTGGTGTGATAGAGGTTTATCATATCATTGGGGTGGTGTGAATCATATGGCCATTTATTATTTTTATTTTAATGACTCAGTTTCTTTTGTAAATCAGATTGACCAGTGAAAAATTTTGTTAAAAATTGTGATAATGGAGTGTTCTGTTGCTATAAATACAGTGATTATCCTAAAGTTATCTTTCTTTTAAACCTCATAGAGCAGAAAAACTTAACATAATTTGATTTTTTTTTTTTTTTTTTTTTTTTTTTGTCAAACCTTACATATTTGTGGACTAAATGAAATTGTATTATATACAAACACGATTTCATTGCTATTTATTCACATTAAAACTATTCGCTGTTTGAATGTCACAATACCAGGAAATAGATTTCCTGCTTCTGCCTTCCAGGCCCCACGTTAAAAAAGAACCTTCACTTGGTGACCAGAAGCTTCCGGGGCTGCTGCCCGCTTCAGCCATCAAGCAGGACAAACAGTAGGCTCTCATTGGTCAAGATGAAGAGTCACATGATCACATATGAAGACAACATGAAAAAGACTAGAATGGCAGTTGGAATAATTATTATGCATCTAACAATACATTCTTGAAGCAGTTTGCCTAGAAGTTGAAGTTAGTGGCTTGAACTTAAACATGGTAACTGGCACCTGTTGCCGTGTCAACCAAAAGTAGTTGTCATGGCAACTGTAGAATAAGTTTCCATCATGACTGTGCTGTTTGTTGGGATTGGTCAAAAGTGACCTTTCACCTTAGCAACCATGTAGTGTTGTTATGGTGACAACACTGCTTTAGGAAAGTGTGAGCTGAAGATGCATCAACTGCCTCAGACATTGTTCAAATATCTTGATTCTTTGTGTGGACTTGAAGCTATTAATAAGCATATTATTGTTACTAGAAATCAGGTACAAGTACCTGATGTGTTGGTTAAAAGGTGAGTTGTCTCCGTCTTCAAGCAGTGTGATAAGGGCCTGGCTGTAATATTGATACTGGCTCATCATTGGGTCAGGGATCAGTGAACTTTCTCCTGTAAGCTGAGGGACTTCTAGTTTTGCAACGAGGCACTTATATTGAAGATTTTCCTTTTAAAAACCACCCTTGCATGCTGGGTTTGTAATATGTCTCTCGTTTAAGTCAGATTTCACCAATGTTGCCGTTAGACGATTTGAAAATTTTCCCAATGACTTGGTTGTGTACAAGGTCTTTGTATGAACACTGTTTGGACACGTGGAGACACCATCTTGAAATTTGCTTTTTGCTTTGTCTTTTAACCTGGAATACCTGTTCTGGGAACAGTATAGCAAGTGTGAATTCTGTAACCACAGGCATAAAATCAAATGTCCCTACAACAGAGTGAGGGTGAAGTCTTCGAATATATGAGCAGAATCATAATGAGGCTTTTTTCCCCTCTGTAAGTTGCCTTACTACTTCCAGTTTAAGCAGTTGATAGAATTCACTACTTGCTATACACATTTGTATAGATAAATGCCTGGACAACACTTTCCATAAAATTGTTTACTGTTAATGTCTTATTATAACTTTTGCTAGTCCAACCATACTAGAAATATCCCATGTTTTGTCAGCCTGTGTCTTAATTATTTTACTCTGTTCTCCGTTTGAGGCACCAGGGTCTAAAAACCTACTGGCCCAAAGCAGACAGAAACAGCGAACTGAACTAATTGACCATACAACACAGAGACCTGTATCCAAAGTGACTGGTGTTTATGTTGCTGACTGTTCTGTTGTTTAGTTTCTGGCTTGGACCCTTTCCAGAACCACAGTGGATAACACTTCACAATATATATATAGGGAATGAGGGACTGTTTTGTTAATCTGAGTCGGCATTGTCAGGGGGTTTTGCTGGATAAAAAGAAGACAATATCATGTGGACATTTTAAGATGGTTTGGACTAGGAAATGTAATGTTGTACCTGACTTCAAGTACATTTAAACATGTAATTGCCATATTAATCCATGCATGTAATTATACTATTGTTGATTAGTTGAGAAATGGCTTTAAGAGCTTGGATTTGGTGGAAGTTTGATCAGGCTTGAATGTGATATGAAAAGAAGTTTACAGCTGGCTTAAATTGCATTAGGGTGGGTGAAGTCATCTGGGTTGTTGTTTTATATTTTTCTGGCCAAAATATTTTATTGTGTATATATATATATTGAAGAGGATGTACTGAATTCATAATAGCATGCTTCTTTTAGTGTCAGAAAATAACTTTTCCCTTTGGAAATTGCGATGTATTTATTGATGCTCTAAATTTGATATTTGAAAAAAATATTTTTGGGGGGAAAATTTGATAAAAATTAACTGGCAAATAAAAGTGAGACAAAAAGCAGCATGGTAAAGAGAACAGATCTTCCACTGCACCATTTCTTTTTAAAGATCAGAGAGGGGACACCTTTCATAGTCTACAGTGACAAAATGCATGCTTGTCACATAGCTTGGTCAAACTTTTACCCTGATGTTCGTTTCAATATTTAGTGTTTTCTGTATTGTTTTCTTTTAAGCTTTTTTGCAAAGTCGGTCTTCATGTACCCTCAGTGAGGTATTGAACGCTTGCTAAAGCCCCCTTTACACTGGACGGCGTCCTTTCTGCGTCCAGCAGTACGGCCCTATTTGAGAGTTACATAATTATAATACTTTACGTGCCGACAACTGGCCGATCATTGAGCATTCATTCTGATACAAAATCAATGCTCGTGCCTCCTTATTGAAACCACAGTGATGTCAAATTTCATGGTCGCAGAAAGGACGCCGTCCAGTGTAAAGGGGGTATAAAGTTGTTGCATGGTGGCAGCAAAGATGGAAGGACATTTATATGGTTGTGTTACATGAAAGGGTTATGCTGTGGAATAAGCAGATTCTGTCTCTTTGTAGATGAAAGATTTACATAAATAGAGCTTGAAAGTTTGACAAAATAACCAGAAAATGTGGGAACAAAGATAATTTGCTGCCACTGTGCTAAACTAAATGTTGTTAATGAACATATACTTGCCTTTAAGTTAAAAACCTTGTATAATTCCATTGCTTACAATTGACCTTTTAATTATTTTTTTCTTGGGACCTCAAGTTCCAATTGTTGTCTTCATGTCTTATCATAAGAGGTAGTGATAGTTTTGTTATTTAATGTGAAGGGAAGGAAGGAAGATAAATAATATCACAAATCCGGGGAGACTTTTTTTGGGGGGAATCTGTGTAGTTTTATCTTTGGTGAGGGGAAAAGGCTGAGCATAAGTTTTTTTGTACAGCAAAACATTTCAATATTGTTGTAAGTTTTGATTTTATTTTGTTATGAATGTCTACAGTATGTCTATCAGCCTGGGCTGAAGACAGTTGGCATATTACATAAAACTCACACTAGTAAGAACACAATCACTCCATGTGGTAGAAAGGTAATTACTGTAATAATAAATATAGCCTTCATTCACAAATATGATGTAAAAATAGAAACCATTGGTTTTGCCCTCTTACTGCAACTGTTAGATGCCTTGACCCTCAGCACAGTATTCTGCATAATATTTCCTTCCTTCCCTTCTTTTAGCTGGCTGGCTGGTTGTGTGACTGGAAGGCACTAGTTACACTATGATGGATTGTGTTGCTTGTGAATTTGTCACACCTAACACAATGGTAGTGATACCAAACGGTGTTATCAGTTGTTCTTCCTGTCACATCTAACACAATCAGGATCTTGACCACTGAACATTGATGGTTGTGTTAGTTGTGAAGCTGTCACACCCAACGCAATCACATCATAACCAGCTAAGCTAGTTTTCCAGATCCTCAAAAGGATAAAAATGCATGCCTGAGAAAAAACTGTAACAGTAGTTGATATAAAGGTGATGAGTGAGGTACTTTGACTTTTTATCACATATAGCTGTGTCATACGAGTGGCAATCATTGACACTGGATGTAATATCAAGTTGACAAAGAAGTGAAATTCTCATGTGGCCTTACTGTTAATTGCAATTGTGCAATGGGAAATGTCAACTGGGCAGTGTTTTGTCATAAAGCAGAGGTTTTCTGTTGCACTGGTTCTTGTTTGGAAATAAACTACTTGTTACATGATGTTGCTTTCTTCTTTTTCATTTCAAAAGGGCTGTTTAATATTTGAAGACATCCTGTATGGGAATTTTGCACCAAATCTGAGTTTCCTAAAAAAAAAAAAGAAAAACGTGTGGATGATTGCTTGACCTGTTCTTGCAGTTGGATATCGTGTTGGGCATCATTTTTTTGTATGTAACAAGATGCAACTGAACAGCCATGTCTTCCTGGCATTTCAAATGGAAATATCAAAATTGTGAATTTGGGATTTTATACAATTTTTTTGGTTTCTGAATTGGACAAAGGAAATAGCTTTGCAGGAGATTTAGACATTGGGACATTTGAAAGCACACATAATTTTAACGTTGTTTGCAGTTTATGAATATGTAGTTCACAGCATAGAGAGATACATTTGTAATTACCACATTTAATGAGAGACAAAAACAACCCACTTCAAGTTATCTCCCAGTAATTTTGTCCTGGGATCATTTATTCACTAAACAAAACTTTCCATAACAAACACGAGGGCAGGGTTAAAATTACCTACAGTACCTTTCTATATTACTAATAAAATTTATTTAAAAATTCTGCTGTTCTTTGCATTACAGTCCATTACTGTTCATTACAGACAACTTTTATGCAGTGAAGTTTAAATTATGCTGAATTTCTCTTCTGTGCACAATAAAACAGACACAATGGGTGTCAGAAGTATTAAATTTGATCTGAATAAGACTTATGAACATTAAAATTAACAAACAAACTAACTAAAATTCTGTGAAGTATTCACAATTAAGAAATTGATTTCATTCTACAAAGACAAGATGTCACACATGGCATTCAAAGTTTAAATATTAAATTTTATAAATGAACAGTACTCACATGCCCTTTACCCATTTACACTGGACTACTCATGACAGCACTTACAAATTATATATAAATCCTGAAAACCTCACATAAATGGACAGAAAAAGGATTTCTTTCTCCTGAATATATTGCAATTAAAACAACGCACATTTCAACTTGTCAAACCTGGCAGCTTTAAAAATCAACAACTCCTTTTATAGTACACATAATTGTCTTGCAACAAAGAATTTCTAAAAACATTCTAACTGATGGAGAAAAATACCTTTTAAATATATAGTCCTGTTCAACACAAATTAAATCTAAAATAATATCATTCTATATACTTAATAATACATCTGGCACAGTTAGTGAGTGGCGAGGTACAGATATTAGGTCTGTTAGTACAACAGAATGTTAGATAAAACAAAATCGGTTGTGTTAGGTGTGCAGTGAGTGTGTTAGCTGTGACTGTGTTACATGAGACAATCCTGCATAACAATAGGCAGAGATAAGTGTTATATATATATATATATATATATATATATATATATATATATATATATATATATATATATATATATATGTATTTGATGCATTGCAAATTTCCATCACTTCTGTAATCCAGATGGAGCAAGCCACCTGCCTAACCCATTTACTAGTACAGCAAACATGAAGGCATATGGTAGAGGAGCACAAAAGTATTTTAAAAACAATAAGATTAATAACAACTTTATATATACTTCAAACATTAATTATTTTTAAAATATAATTGCAAATGCATTTAAATTATGTATAAATTCCTACATCATTAACACACACAAAAATGGGTGAATAAATGACTCAAATAATTAGAGTAAAATTAATACCTAAAATTCACAGGGGGCAATGTTTCTGTTCCTCTCCTCTAGATGGCAGCACCAAAGTAAGACAGGCCATCCATTTATTGGTAGAGCTTGTGAGGTGCAAAAATGTAGAGACAGATGAGGTTAAACATCATTTATGCACATTCTCTATACTAGTAATTATCACTTCTCAATGTTTCCAAGTGCCATTTCACTTTCAACAATGTTACACAAGAGACCTAATATTTTTTTTCTCGAGTGCTTGAATCGGCAACCCTGCATAAATTCTGAACACACTGTATTATGAAACCCAGGGTCTGATTTCATTAGGGAATTTGAGCTGAAAGTTGGTCTATATTGTAACATTTAAAATCTTAGTCCTCAGGTGAATCTGTATATACTTGAATGAGAATTTCGTCTCTGCTTTACAAAAGGTAAGAAATGCTAATGTTTTGGACCCGTAAAGTTGTTTTTTTTTATGTGGACTCTGACAGAATAATTTTTGTGCGTCAAAATTCACTACAATTTGCAGTCTTAATCTCAGACCAGCTTTCAGTTAAAGTTCCTTTTTGAAGTAAGGCACAGGACTCGCATTCAACATATCCCTTTTATACAAATAAAACCTTTGATTCATTTACTCTTCCTCATCTTTCCCTGCACGAAGCAGTTTCCTCAGCAGTTCATAAGAAGCATTAATGATTCCCCAGGAGAGAAAAGACCTTGTATAGTTGACATGGACCCCTCGAAACATTTTCTTCCAAGCACGACCACGCTCCTCAAAGACTACCTTCCCTGTGGCGATTATGCCCGGGAACGGTCCTCCCACGGTCTTTTGCATATGTGTCTTGACAACATTAACCGGATAAAACACTGTGCTTATGAAAGCACCCAGGCACGCACCGCTGACAAAATCTTCTATGGCATTTACGGCATATGATTGCGTTGACGGGAACTGCTCTTTTAACCGAGTCCGAAACCCAAAGAAGACAGCGTTGCTAAGTCCATTTCGTAATAAAATGGGAGTCAGGCCACGATAATACTCGGATACTCCGTAAGACTTCAGCTCTCTGAGCGCGTGCCAAGTGTTTTGAAAATGGTCATGGTATGCTTTGTCTAATAGTAAAACCTGAGTGCGTTCTAGGGGCATGAGGAGTGCCTCGGTACAGCCGGCCAAAATGGCGGCCGTGCTTTGTTGTACAATCACATGCATTTTTGGTGCCTGCTGCCTTATTAACCTTCAATTGAAAAAAAATAGACATTAACTGAGTGAATTTTGTCAAATGTATAATTTTTGTAATTAATAAACTTCTGCAATATAAAGTGAAAAAATCAACAACAGTTAAATGTGTATTATAACTTAATGCAAAAAAAGTAAAAATCATTCAGGTTTTTAAGATTCTGTCACTCTTCTTTAATTCTTAAATGAAAATATTCTTTAAAGAAAAAAAAAAAAAAAAAAAAACAGACCAACCTGAGGTATTTCTCATAACAACCAAACATAATAGAAAGTGAGCAAGTTTTCTGTAATAGAGGGGCAGGAAGACCACGGTACAAATTCTTCAGTCCTTCTTTCCTAAGCTCCTCAAAAGCCGTGTGTGATCGAATCCCATGCAGCTGTTGACGGAACATGACCTTGTTCAGAGGGAAGGTCAGTGAGATATTGATCACGGCTGCGCCCCATCCGGATATAAACTCCTTGTATACGTCACCATTCGTTGAGGTTTTGGTCGGACCACTGCTAGAGCCCAGGGCAATGTTTTGGCCCCCCTTGGAGGCAAACTGATCCGTTGTGGGGGCAATGGAAGACATGCATTGCTGCACAGTTGAAGCTTCATCTTGCTTCATTATGTGTCTAAACTCCACTTTCTCAACATCTGATTGAGCACCCTCTAATGGGATCTGGTAAGATTTTTTTATGATTTTCCAGAGGCACTCCTCATTTCTCTCTTTCTTTTAACCCAAACTATCTGAAATAAATATTTCTACAAATTAAGCACATTCCTGAATAAAAAATGTCAGGTCCGCCCTCTGTAAACACATACACAGCACATACACATTATACCTTATAAACAAGTGTATCTACAGTGAAAAAGAATTTCACAACTGATTTACTAAAAACTTTAAATATCTATCAGTTGTACTTTGAAAGAAAATATATACACTGTACCAGATGGTACTAAAAAGTGAGGACTTAGATAAGATCATGGCCTAGCTTGGAGTAATTTTAATTTACCAGGCGTCAGTTAGTAAGATAACGTACTATAGTAATCTAAAGCATATTTAGGATCTAAATGCAGTGCAATTATTTCACTTACTTTCTAAACACCATATAATCTGCACTTATTGCGTTTGTGCAATAAAACACCGAGCTTGTTGCATAAAAAAAGTGTTCAAGATTGCATGGGGGCCGCCATGTTTGTTTCGTTTGACCTACTTATTAAAATTTGACCTACTTATTGAATTGTGCATGCAGGGTCGCCTCGTGGCCATTAATACTGTTTTCACTGTTCGGTAGGTAACAAGGGATGCTTTTTAACGCTTAACGACAGTATTTTCTTTGAGCCTGTAAGTTGATACAGGTCTGGTAGGAATCCAAATAAAACCATCTACATAGGCGCACGCACGCGTCCAGGTGGAAATTATTAAATTAAATCCACACAGGTACGTTCCCGTAACACGAAAATCCGTTGGCCAGACAATGATAAGTACGGTGAAGGAGTGCAGTCGGCCCAAATGATAAGTTTTTTCACATCCATTTCTCGTTAAAATGAATTTTTTGCATAAATAAAATGTAATACATAAATTAAATAAAAATACCGACCGGGTCTGAAATGGGCCGAAACAGGTGATCTCATACATTAATTAGCCTAATATCATATTAATTGATTGATCTCAGATATGCCTACTGATTTTTTTTTTATTTAAAATTTTTAAGTTTTTTTTTTTCATTCAACGCACACAGTGTGGATTTGATATTTCGTTTCCTGAAATAAATAAATAAATAAATAAATAAATAAATAAATAAATAAAATCGACTCAAAAATTTACCTGCTATGATTGTTGTAGACAAAGTAAATAATCATCAAATGAGCTTTTCACCTTGTACTCTCCTGAAGGGGAGGGGTTTGTAAAATTATAATAAAAATGAATGACCTCTGAACAGGAGTGACGACGCAATGGTTTTCGTGCTCATTATGTTAGACGGAGTGGCGTATATTTATTATATCTTTCTATAGAAATATTCTCTTGCATTGCATATTGAATTCCAGAATTTCAAACAGAGTGATAACGTTGAGGTTTACCACGTACATTATACATAATTCACAGGTAGACGAGCAGTAACTTTCTAAAGGTACTCTATATGGGATTTTCCCGCCAAAACGAATTTCCCTTTATGATAAAAATCCTCCTATTCAGGAACCATATTGCTTCACCCGTCCCTGCTTTCGGATTCGATTTTTCCATATATAATAGAATGATTCAGTTCTAAATGACTGGCCAGTGTACATTGAATACCGTATAGAATTATTTCTTTAAAAAAGAACAAATGAGAGAAGGCAATTGCATGACGCCTGAAATCTACCTTTTTTAAACTTCTCCATCAGGTGAAGATCGATATAGGCCTTCTATCTACTAGGCCTACGTTTAGATACTCTAGTATTAATATACTGTATTAACACATAAAAATAATCCACGACGCAGTCTGTTTTGTTTATAATTGTATTTATTATACACATATTCGCATCGACTGGAATTTTAATTCTGATGAAGATGAATAATTCACAAAATATATAAGACATAAGAGTGCTAGAAGCATGGAGGAGAAGATTTACAGGCGCGCGTGACACCCACCGGTCCACCAAAGCACTGCTTGGATAATGACATTTATACTGGTACTCCAAATTAGTGTTAATGTCAGATCAAAATAAATTTATTTTCGGTGCGGGCACTGACCCTTAATAACACTCTACAACCGACGATGCTTCGGAGAACTGTTCTCTTTGCGTGTTATGCGGCGATTCAATTTGTCCGATGACACTGACATTATAAAGTTCAGTAACTGGTACAACAAGTGTCTTCTACCAGGGCCGCAGATTAATTATGTGCGCTTTTCTTCAACGCGTCAACAACAGTAGAGAATTGTGTCACGAATTAGCCAGAGACTCACTCTCTCAAATTCAGGGGCGGATTTAGGCCGTCTTCTGGGTCTTCTGGAAGACGGTCAGATTTTTAAGTTAACATTGACGGGAATCTAATTTTTTCTGTCGGAAGACGGTCAAAAATGGAGGATGGATCAACAAAGATAATTTGGAAGACTGTCAGAAAATATCTCTGGATCCGCCCCTGGTCAATGACTACCCGACAGTGAAATATGAATCGGAGACCCTGGTAGAGGGTACCCGCCATACAAGCGCGCATTACCAAACATGAAGGGTCTTAAAATATACTGGTACCCAGTGCAGTTTTAACATGTGTTAAAGTAAAATACCTCACTAACATCAAATTCCAAACAAAATTTTCAAGATTTAAAAGTTGAATCATCGCAAATTATCTTAAACAAAAGATTTGAGAATATTAAACCAGTTTGAGATACGCCATCGCTGCACACGAAATGAACGTTGTCACACGTGGTATCCAGCATAGGATTCAATATGTTAAACGCATCGACGACTTCAACGCCCATTGCCTCCAGCCTGTGTCTGAACATCTCATAGATGGCTGGTATCATGTAATAATTTGCGTCTTTATCCCCGCGAAAACGAGGGAAAATGTTCAGGTAGATAACGCGAAGAGCTCTCGTCCTGCGATCAGATTTAAGGCGTTTGATGGAATTGATGAAAATCGGAAACTCGTTTATCAACTTTTCTGCTTTTCTGAAAACTAAGTCCCAAATACCAAAATTAATCACTACAACGTCGTTTGATGTCAAGGTGCCGTTGCTAGAAGATACGGATATATTGATCATCTTTACGATTTGATCTACGTAATGCCCACTTAACACATTAAGAGAAGACAATACTGTTTTTGTCGGCAATATTTCGTGCAGATGTTTGCGTAAAAGATCGTGCGTATTCCGCAAGTGCGAGTCGCCGTAAAAGCAAACGTGCTTTTGGCTGTCGTTAAAGCACTTCTTTAGCTCGTCTGACGTCATAAGGGGAAGTAGGCACCCATCTTCCGTTCCCCAGCGTATCTTATTATCGCGCCAACTTGCCGCATTTTTTCCTGTCCACCACCGACCTTTGAGATACTCCCCAACAGGCCTCCTCTTGCAGTCTCCTCTGTTCTCCCTCAAATTCGGCAATTTGTTACTTGAACATAGCGAGAAATAGTGAATTTTCTTGTGAATTCTTCCTGGCCACCAAATATACCCCCTGGATCCGACATGCTGTTTGTAAGCCTCGAAGTGAGTATAGTCCAAATACACTCTCCCCGTGACACAGGAGTAAATCTTGGGGCAAACCCCGGTGTAAGTGCCGTTAAAATGGTCCGTGAGAGAACAAAGCAGACGATAGTTACTACCGTTAATCTCAACCCTAAAATTGCTACCTCCTAGAGAGGGCGTGAACGCATCGCTTCCCGCGAGAGGTCCGTTGATTTCATACTCCTGGATCCTTATGTATGGCCGGCCGTCCTCGTGGACAGCAGAATGGACGACATGGCGAAATTCACTCCGACTTCTGTTCAGTTTTTGTTGGCAAACTTTGTCACAGTCGTACAAGAAATACTTAAGCTGAGCCAACTCCGATGGCCCTGATGTCGTCTCTGATAGCGTCACTGTTTGTCTCCTCTCTTTTCCTGGTACATGTACCAGCTTTTCTGACGAGTTGGCGCGAAAAGCAATGGAACTGTTTGGTAGATTTTTTACCCGTGGGTGAACGGATTCCAGCTTAGAACTGCGATGTGTGTACCTCACCATAACCAAGCAATACAGTGCCGATATAACTAAGACGAAAGGCAGGTAACGCCTAACGCAGGCCATGACCGTATGATGTTAACGCTGCAGAAGACAACGCACCACTTTTGCACAAATCGGACGTCTTCTAAAATATGCAAAACTTACTGCTGTAATAATAATTAATTATTGCCTGCCCACATGACAGTGTAGCAGGCGTTGCACAATTATCAGAATTTCATGGAGATATGATATGGCCTATGTGGTATCATATAAAATGAACGCCGCAGAAGTCTTAAATCAGCCTTGGATCGCATTCACAACGAGTTGAGCCATGGCTTTACAAATCCTGGAACTAAATATGGCGGACGTACATGAAAGAAAAACCGCCTAATCTTTTAATAGTCTCTCCGCNGAGAGAATTGTGAAGTTGCACAAGCTTTTTTGTTAGAGATGAAGGTCCTTCATATTTATCAGGATATATTCGTGTATTGCATTTATGTCCCCTGACCCACCATGTAAAACCATCTCTGATGTTTTATTTTCTTAATTTTTAGTGGAGAATAGTTCTTCATTGTCTTTTAAACCTAACAGAATTTTTGAAATTATGTATTTTTATAAGGGAAAAAAAACATTTTCTTGGATTCTTGATGAATCCGAAATAAATACAGCATCAGCAGACATGGAACCTAATCTTGCGTGAGGTGTGGATATACATGTTTGTAAAATATCTTCTTTTAGGCACCTTAGCTTTTGGAAGTGGTTTAGACTGATGCCCAACAGAATCACAAGACAGAAAGAATCAATTTTAGAGAATTAACATTCAAATGATTTCATTATTTGTGAGAGTGCACTGATGTTACACACACTGGCTGAAGTGATTTATGATATCCCATGAAATATTACAAAGTTCATTGATGATATGTTTTCTACTTTTGGCATCAAAACCCCAATAATCATTTTGGTATTTCAGTGATATTTGATGTAAAAATTATTAGTCTGAAAAATATGTGTTAAGCACGAACAATTTGCTTCTTGTATATCCCAAACCTTGTAAAGTGGCAGTCTTGATACATAGTGAAGATATTATGTGTATTTCTGGAAGAAAGTTAGTCTGTAGAAGTATCAGATCACAGATAGATTTTCAAATGATAACAAGATAAATAGCAAAATTATTATGTACACATTCACTTATGTACATAGGAATCGTGGAAGCCGTGTTGGGCCAGAATTACACCTCGCTGCGTTCAGGGAGTTGGAAAAAGCTGCTGGTAATAAACCCAGCTCCACTAGCTCCAGTGTTTGCCCCGTGTTGAGTCCTGCAAGGGCAGGTGGCAAACCAAACCTTGGGCTGGGCACACCTTTGTCACAAAAGTCCCTCTTCCTCAGCAGTGGTGTCAGGGTGGGTTTCAAAGCCCCTGGCATTGCCCAAGCAACTGTTGAAGAGCAGAGGTATAGACTGGAGACTCTTTTATTTGGGCATGAAATATACTTATCTGGTCATGTTTACTCCAGCTTGGCTGAGAAATAACCAAAGATGTCCATTTTTTTTTTAATGCGTAACATTGGCATTTGACTGGCAAGTCAGGCAGATCAGTTTTAACTGAATTACAGACCATTCAGATTGAGAAGAGCCGAGTGCTAGTAAGGCTGCAACCTTAATATGGTGGACCTACATGAAAGGAATACCGCTAATCCTATAATGATCTCTCTGCCTGTCACACGCCTCCCCACTCGACGTCCCTGCAGGGGCACAATTATTAAATCTCGGCTCAATTGAACTGGTCGAGGGACAATGCGTGGGGAGGCGGGAGAGAGGTGGAGAGACCATTACAGGATTAGCGGTATTCCTTTCAAGTAAGTACACCATATTTAGGTTGTGGCTTTACTGGCACTCAGCTCTTCTCGATCTGAATAGTCCCCTATTAAAGTGGGTAGTGGCATCACTATGTTCAGAGGCAACAAATTTTTATTCCAACTGATGTCCATAGATCATTCTTTTGAGTGCATGTGGACACACTGGTACCGAAAAACTAGTATGTTGGATCCTAGTGAAAAATTACCTGCTATCTTGAAGCTAGGACCTTTCAACAGGTCCTATCTTGAAGTTATGCCTGTAAAAATGTAAAATTGGCCATCATTTGATACTTAATTCCCTATCTTACAAAATAGCTGGTCAGTATTTTGACTGTTATATGAAACAAGTACTTTTGTGAAAGGAATTTCTCATGGAAAGTTTTTGCATGATTCTGAAGTTGGTTTTTTGATTCCTGTGCCATTTGCCCTCAGGTACAACTGCTGCTATTTTTGTCTTTGGTTTGATAGCCTACTGTCAAAGTGCAGACAACACCTGCTGTGTTAGACTGTCTTTATTAGCATTTCAGATGCCTTGATTTGCAAATAAATCCTGTCTGTCTGCTTCTTGCAGAACAAATGGTCTACTTATTGATTGGGTTTGATACTAAACATCATTGCTGAGTTCAGTTGGTGGACATCTTTGAGACCATTCCCAGAGACTATCGTACTAACTTTGGATCGATCTTCAAGGGGATTCTCTGTAAATCGCTATCAAGTTAAGCAGCTGAGATGTCTCGCACTCCCACTGAAGCTGTAAGAGGGTAATTCACCAGCATTTAAAGGCTTCAGTAGGCGTGCCAGACATCTAAGCCATTTAAGCTAAAAGCAATTAGCAAGAAACCCCTTGGAGATGGGGCGATCCAGTTAGATCGATCTAGGCATGGGAACCCAGTCTTTAACTCCATATGGTCTGTTGGTTTGCCCAAATGACTGCCATGAATAGTTCACACTTTATATCACTGTACTACTTCTATAAAAAGCAAATTTTAAATTAATATATTGCTGCATATGGTTTTAAAAATATATTAATTGTATGGTGTTAAAATGAATGAACAAAATGTTTCTGGTTGGTCTGCAAAAGTGTGCAGTGTGATGCTGTCCTTATATGGGTCATGTTTAAGTCTTTTTTCTGCTTATTTTTGTTCAGCTACTTGTATATATGTGGGATCAAATAAGAGAGGTGATTTAGATATTCTTTAAAACTCTTTGACTTACATTTCCTTTCCAAAGCACCCCAAAGATAAAAGATCAAATGGATGGTTGAAATTCACAATACTGCAGTATTTCCTTTTGTGCATACTCAGCACATAAATTTGCAGTATTCTAAACCATTTTGTCAGTAAAAGTGTTACCTGAGTTTATACTGGTAGTTTAGTTGAACTAACACATGCAGTCAGAGTTTGTTTGTGAAGGATGAGATGTTGAATGACATTAAACAACCTTATACATTTACCACATATTAGACCTAGACCACAACAGTCTGCCACAAATCCACACAACATGCACAAAAAAGCCAAAAGATAGTTATTTAAGCAAAAACAAAAGAATTACCAAGCCTACGTTCAATTAACAGCCAATTTTGGTTGATGCCGTACAGGTCTTCGACCAGATTGACTGTAAACTAACATGTCAGCTTCATAAACGTTTTAGATCGCATTCACAACGAGTTGAGCCATGGCTTTACAAATCCTGGAACTAAATATGGCAGACGTACATGAAAGAAAAACCGCCTTATCTTTTAATAGTCTCTCCGCCTCTCACACGCCTCCCCATGCGTCGTCCCTGCTGGGGTACGGTCATTAAATCTCGGCTCCATTGGGACAACACATGGGAGGCGTGCGAGAGGCGGAGAGACTATTAAAAGATTAGGCGGTTTTTCTTTCATGTACGTCCGCCATATTTAGTTCCAGGATTTGTAAAGCCTGGCTCAAATCGTTGTGAATGCGGTCCAGTCTGTTTGATCGAATGCGACGTCTTTTGAAAGACGCATCATAAGCATTACATCATCAGTTCCTGCCAGCATGCTTTGAGCTGAAGATTCTAACAACAGTGTGGAAGGCGCTTCATGGTTCACAATGATTTTGATCCATTGGAGCGTACTTTACTGTTAATCTTTAGATTTTTTTTTCTTTGCTTTTGGAAAGTACGGCGGTCATTGACGGCTTGTGCGACGCTGGCCAGTGTCTTTTTGAGAGAAAAAAAGTCTGTTTTCTGTGCCAGATGCGTACACAAACGGGGGAGCGCTTTTAAAGCAATATGGGTGCAGCTTCAACCCGCATGACACTGAAACTAATACAAACGCAGTAAAATCACCTTTGCAACAGAATGCTGTTAATGATTTATTTGAGATGATATGGACGCACAGATAATACAGCTGGAAGTTCATCGGTGTCAAGTTTTTACGATGCTACGACTGTGAAAGACTTCCGAAATTTAGGATTATGGCCATAAGCTACTTAACGCCGTCTAATGTCCCAGTTTTCACTGTTTCAAACTACTTTCCCCCCACTTGCTACTTTTTCTTTATTTACATTTTCTATCTGTAAAGTAATTTCCACAGAAATCGCATGAAACAACGCGGTAAATTTCAGTGATAATTTGCAGAATCCGCCTTACTTACCGTGTGACGTAATGTTCAAGATGGAGTATGTTCTAAAATGAATATTTCAGTATTAGGTTGTGGGATGCATTTGTTGGAAACTTCTATGGTATATATAAACCCGAATGATTTAATTTGATTGCAAATTTGTGATAACCGAAAGAACATACGGTGAAATGGCGCAATTTTGCCAATACGAAGTGTTTGTGTGTTCAACTTCAATAAGGCGGTGTCGGGTTCGTGGTATAGTGCTGCTGTTTGAAAAAGTTTTATGGAAATTAATTAGTGGAAATTACATTGCCGATTGACGTAATCACCCAATCACAATCACATGGAGACGTTAATTCAAACGTAGATACTTCCCGCCCACATCGAAGTTTTCATAGTCGCTTTACTGTATGTCATAAATTGCCATATGCCGTAAAGCGAAATGATTCAAAAGCACTTTTCCGAAATCAACAACAGCAACTTCCAACATACAAAAACACGTTTAATAATAAAAAAATCGTCAGTATAAATAAAAATTCTATGAATTATTAGCACTGCGTCAGCAAGAATGACAAATATACAGACCACGCATGCGCAGTGAATGAGAAATATGAATTTACATTGAAGTGAGTATATAATAATTATAATAATAATTGAGAATGATTTTAGTAATGTGCATTTAGTTTTGCATACAATTCCCATGGGCAAACCTATGCTAAATTTTATTAAAAAAAAACCTTTCATAATGACTGCATCATAGCCATATTACAAGATTAACCGTTTCCACTTGCTTTTAACCGTGGACGATATCCATTTTAACATCTATAACTTCCCTCCCTGGCAAGTCAAATATCATACTAGGCAGTGTTCACATTTAACTGAGGTAAGATTACGTTATACATATTGCAACGAGGGTTTCCATCGAGAATGGCGGATCTCGCTTCAGTGTAAAAGCGCCAATGCAATACCACAGTCACAGATTCCTGGTTTTAGGTGTGCAGCAGTCACACGTAAAACAAATTTAAGTTTTAGTTTGAACTGATACAAACTTTGCACTTGACTCGTACATTGTTAAGTGAATTATGCCGTATTTATCTACATTTACAAATATAAAGATGAGCACTCCATCAAGAGGTTCTATGTTAAAAACTAGAGGGACAAGAGAGCACGAAGGTTAATAGGCCTTCCCCTCCCCCCCAGCAGCTTCAGTGAACGTGACAGGCATTTAAGCCGCTAAAACGATTAAGTTTATGGAACCCAGTCTTACAATACACAGAAGATAAAACACATTGCCGCACACTTCCACAACACATGTCAGTGTCTACAAAGCAACAACAACAACAACAACAACAACATCACACATTTAAATCACTCTTAATGTGTACAGTGTCGCGCAGAACTATTGTTACATTCAATAATTCAATAATTTGGGTGTGGTTTGCGGTATTTCGCTCCCATTGTGTTAGAAACAGTTCAATCCTGCCCTAGTTTATCCTAACAAAATTGTATTAAGAGTTTATCACATGGTGATAAAATCCCGACGTTGTTTAGAAGACTGCAGGCACTAACCATATTACAAAAATTGTGTGTAGAATACACAAACTTGAAGTCATGAGTAAAAATATATATATACGTGACAGGTGTACAAAAAAGGGAAATCTTTTGAAAATACACTGTGATTGAAGTCTATAGCAATAATTTTTTGCGACACTGTATAACTACCCGTAAGTTTGTCTATTGCATCAAACGCAAAACCTTTCACAGTTTGCGTTAACTGGACCTATTACAATCTTACAATTAAAAAAATCGCATATCCACGAACACAGAAATGATTAAGTTTTGCGCGATATAAGATCAATATCGCCAATATTTCGATAAACAAATTCAATATAATACTCGACTTGTCATGATTAATTAATTTACACCTAGTTGCACAGAACATAAATAACTCTCCATAAATTAATGACAGCTATACTTCAGTTTATCTTTTTGCACACCCCATTGGGGTTTTCCGTCAGATGGCGCCCGGGTCCATTGATTTCAAGAGGAGCTTGTCTCCGCAATGATTTGTATAATCTGCAACACACACACGTCCATACCAGTCTACATAGGAAGTATAACACAGTCAACGCAATGGTGACACATAAAACTAGGAATGCAACAATATCCAGTAAAAGATACTGATACCAAGACAAGCTGGCCGCTGCTTGGGATCTGAGGTGCAGAGACCCCTTGTGTCTAATCACATAATTAACCCAGTATAAAAACGTTTCCTGTGGGTCGTTTTGTTGATCTCTGACAATTGAGGATATTCTCTTTGCGTTTGTTTGATATTTTGGATTGTTTAATACTTCCTGTATTGCATTTTCCAGTGCTGCTTCGTCCAGTGTGTTCATGTCGAGCTGCACGCCGATTTCGGCGCGTTCTGTTAGTTTTCGTGCGTGCGCTTGTTGATCCGCCCACAGAGGTATGGCTACGACGGGCACAGCGTGATACAGGGTCTCCCACGTGCTACTGGCCCCACAGTGGGTGACAAAAAGTTTGACATTCGGGTGCCCCAAGAGGTCATTTTGTGGAAGCCATTCTAAGAGTTTTACGTTCTTCCCCAGGCCAGGTGGGAGCTCCCCGACGTAACGCCACAAGACCCGCTGAGAAAGGCGAGAAAACACGTTGGCTAGGACCTCCGCAAACTTGGGGTCGTACTTAGGGATCAGAGTCCCGAAACTGACCACTATCACCCCGTCGTCTGCTTCCGTGACGAATTTCTGGAGATCTGATGAGAGGGGTTTAAGCGGCGTCCAGACGAGCCCCGAGATGGGGATAATATGAGGCATCAGTGGCCTGGGGTAATCAAACCCATAATGGGTGTTCGCGGAAATGACAAGGGATACCCTGTCGAACCCCCTTCCGACGTCATTGCCCCAGGGAAAGTCGGGGAAATGGCGGTCCCTTAACACCTGTAGATGGCGAGTGGGGTCTACAATCAGCTCCCCTAGTATACTCACTATGGTATTAATTAGACGCTCTTTGAATGACATTTTATCAGAGAAGCCTGTCCCGATGTCGGGCACGAAAGCGTAGGGGCTCGGCGTTCCAAATACAGGCCAGCTGTTCGTTAAGCCGTAGTTAGAGTACATTATTGAAGGCACGTTGAAATAATCCACTAAAATCTTCGTGCATGCTTCGATCCAGTCGAATAAATAAAGGTCAAACTTGGCGTCCCTGAGAGATTTCAGCAGGGCTCGGTTTTCTAGTAAGCCCTCACAATACGTTAGCATTCTTCCCTGCATCAGTTGAAAGGTTTGTAGCTTTGATAGCTGTAGCATCCTCCATACTTCCTCAACTTCAAGGCCCCTCACGCAGTCAGCAGACGACACCTTGAAGGTAACTATGGAGATTCCAGTCAGGTTGTTCCTGGGCAGGTAATGGTCCCCCATCAACATCGTCACTTCATGGCCACGGTCACGTAACAGCATGGACAGCTTCTCCATGTTCAGCAGGCGAGAGTTGAAAAACTGTGAGAGGGGGTGGACGAGAATCCTCGCTCCATCTCCACGCCGTATCTCCAAGCAGACAACAACAATGGCGAGGAGGTAAAGGACTAGTGAAGATCGTCTGCATTGTATCGCCGTGTTGTTGCTGCAGCGTCCGCTGCTCGTGGCGAGCATCTTTCTTGTGTAGCGGGTCGCCGAGCCACTCCAACGCCATACATCAGCGATACCCTGTAGCTAGAGCTTACATCAATTACACGGGCTTTAACGAGGACTTAAGGTGAAACAGCAAGCCCGATGCGGGATTTCCGTATTATTTTCTAAAGCCGGCTATTGTGCGTAGTCGTTTAACCGAGTAGCATTGTTAGTGGACGGCGTAAATCCCTTAACTGTACACAGAGAGAGAGCGAGTAGCGTGTTAACTGGGGCAGAGGCTATTTTTATCTCCTCCCAGGATCAGGCGAGGCTGGCCCGGTTATAAGGTGGTTATTTTCACCCTACCTTTGCAAGCCAACGCGTGGATAGCGTACGTGTCCCAGATGTAGTGAAGAGATACGAACTAACTCGGTCGTCTTCGCTCGGACTGGAGGGTCGGTGTGCAGCTCAGGCGTGTGGTGACTTAGGGTTAATCGGAACGTTAACTTGAAGATGATCTTAACCTTTATTAATCAGCTTTAAATGCCACGGTGTTGACTCTCGAGACCGGCGACCTCCAAGTGGGCATTGTTTTCTTCCCAGCTCTTCACAGTGTGAATAAATACGAGCAGGCCATTATAAAGGAGGCGGTACAGCGTGGTGTGTGTGTTGATAGCTTGATGTAATACTGGCTGAGCCGCAGTCGGTGTACATAAACCTGGTCCACGGTGAACTTGACCGTGGAAACCTTGGCTGAGAGAGAGAGGGGGGGTGGTGGTGGGATGAAATCAATTTGTGTGTGTGTGTGTGTGTGTGTTTTTCTAAATTTCTTCATCGCCTGATGACTCGTTTAAACCCCGAAACAGCTAGATATAGTTCAACATAATCCTGAATAAGCATGACTTTAATTTCATCTGAACACTGCAGTCGAGGTCTGCATTACATGAAATATTTCCCAAGCAGGTGCATTCTGTTCTCAGGATTGACATACCCCCAGTAAAATGAGGTTATTCGTTGTAGTGGAACTTTTAAGCAATACCAGTACCGCCGGATTAATTAATACGCATAATAGAAAAAAACACACTTATTATAGCTTGAATTTTATGGATGAATTTAGGCGAGAGTTAAAAGCGCGATAAATCGTGAATTGTATGAGGAGTTCGGTCTTGTCCGTCTTGCTGAATGTTGTAAGGACGATATAAGACTTGCCTCAGAAGTAATATATATTTCTCTTTAAAAACCCTTAGCTATTGTAAAATCATTTAACTACCCAGATGAAAAAATAATTCTCATTCATCGATTCACGTACGGTATTAATAATCAAAGGCGAGCACCAATCGACCCTTCAGCGCCCCTATAATCTGACCAGTCGGACAAGTATTCTGACCGCAATGACCTTAAAACCCCGAACGCTAATCACCACCAAACTCTTAATTTGTTTTACATTTGAAGAGACGCAACCGTCCGATAAACCACCCAGAGAACAGCTCCTTACCAAAACAACCACACGAAATGAACACAAATAAAACGGCAATGATTCCGTATTGGTGGAAACTTATTGTTCGGTTGATGGGACGAAGCTGTTACTGTTGTTCTTGTCCGGAGATCGGTATTGCCGAGGGATACGGGTACTCGGTGAACTGAGAAGTGCACCTAAGGCCTTAGGTGCGTCTCTCGCGGTGGCAGGTACCGTGAGGGGGGTGGAGAGAGGGGAATAGGTGCAACCGCGGTCGGCAGGTGGAAGGGATCGAGTCCTTAAAGGAATTAAGACCGTGTGCAGTTCACAGCCGGGCAAACTTACACCGAAACCAGTCTATCTCAGTATCTGGGTACATACATGTCTTATATGTCCAATATACCAAGAGTAACTACAAGTTTTTTAGTAGTCAACATTGTTGTTAGACAGCATTTTTGAAAGCCTTTAAATTTCATCATTTATTTCTCAGTAAAATATTAATTAATATTATTATATTATTGTGTACAATTTTATGTTTACATTCTCCATGTCTTTCATCCTTGAGGTGGTAATAAAATAAATAAATAAATAAATAAATAAATAAATAAATAAATAAATAAATAATGATAATAATGGTGATGATGATGAAGAATAAGAGCACAGTATTCTGTTTAATCCCTTTTTACAACTGGCTTGAGACCCCCTTGAGACTAATTAAGTTCTGCCAACTCTCACCCCTTCAATATTAGGACTTGGACAATAAATCTGATAGTGAACATCAAGCTCTACTTCCATTCAGAGTAAATGAACTTGAAATATTGTATTCTTTTCTTTAATGACATAGCAGTGAGAGATACCCAAAATTATTTTGCCGAGCGGTTGCTATATCCCGGTAAGACAGAGATATTCGGTTGTAATCGCCTGCTTGTTATTATCTTTTAAATTAAAGTCAGTCGCCTTTAATGTTTGGTCTTAGCTTATCGTCACAGGTATTCATTAGATCATTATTATTCTAATTTTATTTTGTGGCTTTGGCGGTCTTTTAAAACTACTATGTCTCGGCACCTTGTGCCTCCTTACATGAGCGCAAAATTCTGAAAATGATCAGCTTCGCATTTTTCTTCCAAGTCATATAGTGTCACGTTTAAGTCATTATATTCACATCAAATTGATACGATATTTTCACTCACTGTACCTGTACATGTACCTGAACACGATACAGGGTGTGAGAGAGTGCGAGTACCCCTGTAGCAAGGTGTCATGTATATTTAATGGGAAAAGGAGTGGGGAATTAACACTGATCAATAACGGGGAAACCTCCGTGTTATTACGCAAGGTAACACGATCTAGTCCGTATAGTACAGAGATATTGCCCTAATTACAGATCGGAGGTAAGCGGAGATCGCGTGGTAAGAGCATATTAAGATCGTTTCAATTAACTCCGAGTTCAAGCATGTCTTTGTACAGTATATGCACCCTGTATACTAATGGCATATGAATCCAACTGCGACCCTCCCCTTCCCCTGTGAGATAAAATTGTATGAACTATTAAAGTACATTTGATTGTCAAGTCCCTTTTCTTCAGTATTTCAAGTCTATTTCTCTTCTTCTAAAGGCCAAAGGACATTTGACTACTGTATATGGAAATATAAAGCATATATAGAAATATAGAACATTTAACTATAATTAAATAAATGTAAAATTGGATATGAAGATGAATAAGAGGACCGTTTGGCAACTATGCTTTTCTTGTTTAACGGAAAATTGCTGAGGAGACAAAATACAGAAGACTTCAAGCTATTATTTTGTTTAATAAGCTAAATTGTCTCTCCCCGCGTGAACCCCTTTTATTTCCAATTCACTCACCAACTATGATTGTCAAGTAATTTTGTCACGCTCTTAAATTATATAACGTTACCACTGAGGGCGAATCCGTGTTTCTGAAACTTTCAGTTTATTCTGTGGCTCAAAGAAATCATATATTGACTTTTAAAAAGAAATTATAAGGCAGAACCAATCAAATATTTCTCAGACGATTGCTTGTCAGTCAAGGTCACGCACGCGCTGTCACGTCATCCACCTTGACGATTTGAGTCGTAGTTGTCAAATACCGCATCGGGCTTAGGATAACGGCACTCGACGCAGTACGGTTTATGGCGTCAGCATTAAAAAGTCCTTGACAACTTAAATGACTGCCATGTTCCACCTTAAGGCCCATTGTTCTTTAAATTTACGGTTCGTGCTGTGTACTGTGAACCGCACCGGGAGATATTAAACACCCATTCGTGAGCTATAATACCAGGAGTGTTAACGGCTTATATAATTATTAGGCAACTTTTTAATATGTGTAATTTCTATGATAGGGCTTGCGGAAACCGCAGATAGGTTTGCCAAATGGCAAATATGTTTTGCTAAAATTTTCCCTCGCTGCAGTTGCTAAAATGGAAATCGCACCAGTAATTACCCAATCAATGTCGTGGAGTGGGATTTGCTTGGGATGATTTGCGACACCCGGATTATCGATTGGGATAGCAGATACACACATGTACATCCAACCTGGCCCTCTCAGTGGCAAGGTTGAAAGTTTCCTTCTGATCGGCGCTAATAACAAAGCTTCCGTGGCTCCGTGGTAACTCTGCTGTCTTGCATACAGGCAGACACTCGTACGCTGGTTCGAGTCACACTAGATCTAACGTCATCTTTTGGCCAGAATTAATTTTTTAAAAATTGCGATTGATTACTATAAGAGGAAACTCGCAAGTACGGAGGGTGGGCGGGTCTGACACGGAGCAGTCGGTAGCGTGCAAGGCGACTGATTTTAAAATGAGGCATCCAAAGCGTCATCAAGCTTGGTAACGCAAAGTCACGGGTTCGAGTCCCGGATGAGGCACGTCAGTCCATCACGACAACGCCCTGGCCCCAGAATCGGGATGTCACGAGAACGAATGAAGGCTCTCTCGTTGGACTTAGCAAATTATCTTTTGCATAAAAATACGGTATACTTTAGATATTTTTACACCTGTGTCGACATTTATATTTCCCTTTTCTTCAGTAAAAAGTCCTTACATTGGTGTCACAGATCTTGAACTTAAATTGAGCTCTAGCTAACTCCGTATGTTCTGCATTTCATCAAAATGTGCTATCTTCTTGGTGGGATTAGGCCACACTTTTTTATTTTTATGGATGACATCCTGCGCGCGCACCGATTTTCGCCCGTTCTCCGAAA